TGTCAAGTGCTGTAACATTGTAGAAGCATACTTTTCACCTAGATTAATACAGTGTGCTCTTCCCTACAGTGTCTGAGCCCTTCCAGACAGAAATACAAGACTGGTTTTGGGGAAGGGTTCATTATGCCTAATGGCAAACAGTTGAGCAATATGCTGCAAAATGCATATGGATTGAGTTTTTCTTCTCCTTTCACAGGTCAGATAGTCCTGAAATACCTGCACAGCTGACAGCCATGCAACATTTTATGAGTTTTCTTTGCCCAGTAAATGCAGGCAGATGTTGTAGGATTTGGGACCTTACAAGGCACTGGAGTATAGCTGGTGGGAGGTAATTTTGATGAGTGCTTAACCTCTCACTAAAAAAGTAGCAGCTTGGAGAAGGCAATATTTACTGCAGGAAACATTAGCTTGTCAAAGAGCTAACGCACTGCAAACAACCTTTCCGAACAACACGCAAGTCTTCAGCCAGATGTTCTTCATAGCATAGAGTAATGCACACTCTTCTGGGACTTAAACTAAGGCCTTTCCTTGCATCACTCACAGTCAACATTGTTTTCTGTAGGAAAACAGCTTGCTAATGTAAGAATACACAAGCCATTATATGTAAGCTTGTAAAATACCATGCAGTTCAGCTGAACCCTGTAGGCATTTATTTTATTAGTGCTAAGTGATCAAATAATCCTTTGAGAGAGCTCTTCCCTGGAACCACTATGAATGTGTTTCATCTACAAGTTAGAGGAAAGGCTTGGATCTAAGCTTCATTGTTCTATGTCAAGCCTATTCAGAAGTGCCCATGGTACCACCCTCTGAATGCCCTCATCTCAGTCCAGTGTTCCATCTTTGGAGTGTTCATGGACTCATAATTACTGCTGGCAATTGTGAGCTGTGATAAATGCCCTGCTGTTCACCTGTGTGAAACCTGGCTATCTTCTCCTCTGATTGTTGAGTATTTTGGTGAATACTGGATGTTCAAACCAAATACAGCAACTTACTCTCTTTTGAGCTGTACAGGAGACTTGGAGAACTCTTCCCTGATATTGGGGCCCCTCGACCCATGAAATTCAAGGAAACCTGATTTTCAAAGTTTTCAAAGCTTCCTCTGATACTGATTTGAACTATACCACAGGCCCATCCCATCACTGTAATCATAACTTCCTAAGACACCAATACCCTTTTTTAGCAATGCCAGAGCTTGGTTCTGAAGGCACAGAACATAACTGTAAATACTTCCTTAGGTTTTTTATGTGCTCTTAGCTGGGAAGAGGGGGAAGAAATGTAGCCTGTTGTTGCAGTGACTGAAAGACAGAGAGGGAGAAACTGAGAAGAAGGAAAAGCTGGCATGAAAGTTTTTGCAGGAGCACTGTCCAGATCACACAGCATTGAAATTATCATTGACTGTGGCATAGATTTTTAAAATACTTGAATTTAAAAGGGAATGAGGGGAAAATAGCAAATGAAATCCATCTGTGAGAACAGGAATATACCATCAATAAGCTCACAAAGAGTTTCTCTATACGTGTTGCCCTTGGACATCCATACAGAGAAGGGCCACATCTACTTATCAAGGAAAAGTCATGGCACTGAATATGTGCAGCATATGCATGCCTTTTATGCGGTGTCTTTTCATGCAAGTGTGTTTGTGATATACATACTTTACAGGAACATTTACAGTACCATACATCTGAAGAGCTATTCTACTCTAGAGTCCAGATTGTTTTATTACCAGTTAAATGTTCTTTAAGCTACCTGTGAATGAAGGCATTGTGACATTTAGCAACTGGTTTGATTGAACACAGATGTGAACCATATTCCAGATGGAGAAGATCCAAAGGGAGAGATCCTCGGCTTGTTTCTGATTTGCAAGAAGAAGTTTGAATGCACTTACTTGATGTCGAGCTAGCAAGATAGAAACAAATCGCTTGCTTGCAGATCTACAGTATTGAAAATGTAAAATCAGCTGTAGTTTGAGATAGTGTGCTGTCCTCAGAGGTCAGGGGGAAAAACCAATATATATGAAAGCAAAAGTCCTGTAGAAATGTGCAGTATCCACTCAGAAATGGGAGGGGGCCAGGCATTCATGTACATTCCTTACCAAGAGGTTTCCGAGGAGTGCCTCATTCTGCATAAGCACTGCTTTCTAATGTCATTTTAGTCTATCTCTGAATATTTCAGGAAGTGCTGTGACCATGTTGGACAGAGCCTTGGGTGACATGGTTTAGTGTGAGGTGTCCCTGCCCATGGCAGGGGGGCTGGAACTTGATGATCTTAAGGTCCTTTCCAACCTTAACTATTCTATGACCGGGAAAAGCACTTGAAAAAAATGGTGACATGGGGATAGGGCTAAATTGATAATGCCAGAATGTCTGTTGATAATTTTATAGTGTTTAAGTGTCAGATTTACTGATGCAAAACTGAAATTTTGCACTAGGCAGAATTACTTCTATTGTGAAAATCATAGAATCATGGAGTGGCTTGTGTTAGAACGGACCTTAAAGCTCATCTAGTTCCCTGCCACAGGCAGGGATGTCTGCCACTAGACCAGGCTGCCCCAAGTGCCATCCAGCCTGGCCTTGAACACTGCCAGGGATGGGGCAGCCACAGCTTCTCTCAGCACCCTGTACCAGCACCTCACCACCTCACAGTAAATGTTTATTTATCAACAGCTTAGGGAGGAAAAGCATCTGGGGCAGGTTCTGGTACGTGTTCTGAACTGCTGAATTCTGCCAGACTGCTGGCTGCTCAAAGAAACTGTAACAAGCTGGCCTCTTTCTCTGCTCATGAAGAGCAGTTGTGTTTGATCTCAGTTTAGCCTAGCTAAAATGGTAAAAATATATTCTCTAAAACCAGTGTAAAATCCACTACTTAAGGTCTAGTCACAGTGGACTGTGGGAAGCTATGGAGCATGAGTTGTTCCCCATCACCTCAACCTTTCTGTTTCTACCCTCCTTACTGCTCTCATTCCTGCCCTGTTTGTGCATGGACATGCTTGCTCTTTATGGCTGGTGCACAGTTCACACTAAGCTCACTTCAGTTGTGCAGATCTCTCCTTTTTGTACTTTTCTCTGATTGTTTGGAAAACAGGAGTCTATGGTATCGTGCAGGTAACACAGCAATAAACTTGTTCTCATCACAATTTACACATAAAGCGTGAGTCCCTTGAGGTAACTCATCCCCTTCTTGACAGCTTTAATAAAGGATGATGGATTGTTTGTAAATGACAGATCAAAAATTCCCCCCTCTATTCTTTTGAGATCTGGTGTACAAGAGCTGTTCTGTGTTCTGTGAAAGTTGTTTTTGCCTGTAAGCACAGGGGCTCTATTACTCCCCTTCACAGTGGTGAGAAGTGCTTAGTTACCACAGGAATATATTCATCCTGCCACATACTCGTGACATCTTGAAAAACTGCAGCAATCAAAGCCTAGCGTGGGTAGGAGGTGGGGAAGTGCCAATAGCTGAATGTGTGGCTGTCTTTGGGATGCTGCTCTGGCCAGTCTTCCCATATGGGTTGTGGGGAGGAGGAGAGATTGGATACTGATCCACCCAGAACTGCCTCCAAAGGATGATACATCACCTGAACCTACCTGCCCAGCATGTGCAGGGGACTTGGTGACCCCCAAGTGCCTGTCAGTCACCTGCACCCTCTTTTCCCCCTCTCTGCCCTTTTCTTTTTAAGGACCATATGTGGCAGCCAGTTAGTTCTGGAAGGCAGAGTCGTCCCTCTTACTACTTTTTGGCTTGAGATTTATTTCTCAGGGCATGTGCTTTGTAGCTGCACTTGGCAGAGTGGAGTTTGTTCAGCTGTCCATTCCCTAGCTAAGCTGGCGTCTTAAAATAAAAACAAGCATGTGGATTTTGGAAGAAAGGTTGCCACATGAAGACATGCAGAGTGTCATATGGTTAAACCAGCACTGCTCGAAGTCTTTCATATGATAAGAAACCAGATAAGAAAAAAAAAGCTGAGTGCCTGATTAGATCTTGTTCTTAAGGTACATCGAGGTGACAAAATGAAGCTCAGATGAGAACCCACTGTGGCCACGCAACAGTAAAATCATACCTCTTTCACTGCAGAAGTAGTGGGGCTGAGTGCTCTTTGGAGTACGTCGCTTTCCATTATGATAGAATATGACATAGTCCAGTTTCTGCCTGCTGCATATGAGCAGCCAGCCTTTGGAGCAAGCATTGTTGCAAAACCCTGGAAGAAGACTTTTGGTATAAGTTCTCATGAATCCACACAAACTCCAGAGGAAGTTCCCTACCCATGTGAAATAGAAATCGGCAGAGACTGAAGTTAAATTAAGGCTAGAACTTGCCAGGGGTGCAGGATCCAGGGGATAGGAAACTTGCAGCTCTCCTACCACTTTCCTGCTGGGAAGTAAAGGAGGACTGTAGCTGTAGATCTTCTCTGAACCTTTACTTCTCCATCCATAAAATTTTTGTGTTAATCTGTCATCCAGCTCAGGAGGCCAGGCTGGCCATAAGCTGCTTCGTTTGGAACTGTGTAAAACTCACATCCTTTCTCTTCCTGATGTTCCAGGATGAAGCAATGGTTTTTCTCCTTCCTGTCCCACCAATATTGTTCTTACATTTGGGCTATCAACACCAGGACATAAGGACAGATTCCAGGACATACCTGGAATCAGAGTGTGCATGGTTCTTTACATACTCTGATGGAGTTTCCTGCAGAAGATGATAAAAAATACTCTTCCATTACTTATTGAAAAAATAAGTAAATAATTTTTAAATTAGGGTTGAATCCTTGTTTTCCAGCTTTGTTTCCTAGTTTTGTGTTTGGTTTAGTGTATATAATGGTTGTCTTTGCCTTTCAGTTAGCAGACTTCAGTAATAGCCCAAAGTCTTTACAGCCTGCAGTTGTTAAGATTTGTGATGTACTTTCTTCTACTGAGCCAGTACTTTACTTCCTGTTGGAAATTATTTGTATTAATATATCCTGTTATTTTGATTGCTGGTGTGTTTTATGACCATGATTTTCTTTCCCTTAGGCACTACAGGGATTTACCAGGGAGCTAATGGCCTGACAAATTCTGCAGGATTCAGTGCTGTGCACCAGGTATGGTTCAGTGTTTAGTATTGGCAACCTTGGCACTTATTTTAAACACCTGGAATATTGGTAGATCACAAAGATTATTCTGGTGTTTACATACATTTAAGGAAGGCATTGCCCTGCATTCTGCCGAACACCATTCTGCTCTACTCTGGCCTGTCCAGGACTTCTAGATATCTTAATTAATTTTAAGACGTGTAACTATACACAGAGTTCAGTCCTTGCAGGAGGAGGATGCCCTGGCAATCTCTGCCATGCTGCTGTAGCAATGCCAAAAGTTTCATCATTCCTCTGCCATCTTACAACTTTCAGATATGTTTTCCATCCTCTATAGAGAGCTTTGCTTCCAGGATCCTGTTGTCTGCTGTCTTGGCACTGTGTAATAAATATGAACAATTTGAAAGAGTCTTGGCAGGCCCTGATGAATATTGAGCCATCTGAGCTGTCTGTGTGCTTCCTTCTTTGAGAATACACCTGTCTATGGGCTTCATGCTTCAGATACCTTGATAAATGTGTGTGTATAAATAAACAGCGTGCATATATACACAAGACAGATGTTTTTCAGTAGCAAATGGCTGGTTTTGATTGGACCAAACAAATGAGTACACTGTCCCAGAAAATGTGTTTTGGTTGCCAGTAATTTCAATTCCTTTTTTGGAAGGTGATGGTTGACTTGTATTTTTAATGACAACAGTGGGCAAGTTCTTTATTACTTCGGTTTTGGCTAAAAACATAAGCATCTGCTGATAGAAGTGCATGTGATTGAAGTATGGAGGTTACCTAAAAAGGGGAAAAATAATCGGGCTGGTTTCATTGTTTTGTTATGTTCCTTAAGAGAAAACAATGAAATTCTCTCATTTCTTTTTCAGTTTAATCACTCTTATGACAACTTGAGTCTTTATTCTTGAGAGCTCCCTGGTGACTGAAAGTTAATGAAATAGCTGTCACAGACAAAGATGTAAGCTGTTAAGGAGGAAAGTGCTTTAGTCTTTCTAAAGACTATTTATTATTTAGTTTTATTTAATACCACAGACTAGTTAGCATTTTTGAGGAAATAAAAACCTTTTGCTGAAAGACAATCCCTAGAGCATGAGCACAGTTGCCCATCTGAAAGAGCAAATAGGTGAACAAGAGCAGGAGTTGCAGTTAAAACCAAACAAGTAAAACCTTTTATGTTTTAATTGTCCAGTGAGAAGTTTTCTAATCTGTTTTTCTCACAAAAAAAAAACCCAACAAAATAATCTATATGAGGATGGAATAAAGTTTGTTTGAGAGGCTTAAAATAAAGCTAGAGGGATCTGTGATACCTCATCTCCCCAAGGGCACTTCCACCTTGTAGTTTTAGTTATTTTTCTTTAGGTAGGAAAGACCATTCAGGCATTTTGTTATTGCTAAGATAGTTGGACAATCTCAACTGTGAACATTGCTGCAAAACAGTTGCTACTTTTTCTCTTTCTTCATTTTTGTAACCTATTCTAATGTCTGATCAAGAAATGTTGCTGATCTTAGGAAAACACAGACAGTTTTGCTCCTTCTCTTACCCAGTTATTCATTGTGTTCTGATTTCTTAGGTGTTCTGTTACTTACAGGAAACGTGTGTGTTCCATTATGGATCTTCCCAAAAAGCTGCCCTACTTTACTTTTGCATAAAATTGTTGAACTCGTATACAAAATGTGTCAGCACTGATAACTAAAATCCTACAGAAAAAGCAGATTAGTTGTTGATTAGTTGATCATAATAAGCCAGCAGTATATTTGGGAGAAGCAGAAATGTAATGAGACATGGTTCTTTAGGGAAATATTCCTGCTGCATGCATAGATAACACTGCCTTTGTGATGTCTTACTCATTTATAAGATAAATACAGATACACTGATGTCAGATGTTTTTTTCCTCAAAGGAATATTCATCATATCCAAGCTTTCCTCAAAGCCAATACTCACAGTATTACAGCTCCTCCTACAACTCTCCGTATGTGTCTGCGAACAGCATCAGCCCCTCAGCCATCCCAACCTCCACTTACTCTCTCCAGGAGTCTTCCCACAATATCACCAGTCAGAGTACAGAATCACTGTCTGGTAGGTGCATCTCTTCAGTTTGTCAGTCTCAGTCACCTGTAACCTTGTCATTAGAATGTACTAAAATGCATATTTTTACATGGATAAATCAGATTTCCTAGCATTTAAGAGTTCTGCTTACACAGTGCAACACAGGGTTTTGGAAAGATTAGAACATCCACAGTCTGTAAAACCATCTTGTGTCATTTTCATAAGTTTGATCTCTTCTAAAGGTAGTACAGAAAGATAAAACTATTACACACAGAACCCCGATCAAGTCTGAAGGCTAATGAGGGTAGCACAGAGTTCAAAGCAAACAGCAGTGCTCAGAAAAAAACAGTTTCCCGATTGTCTGATGATTTTTTAGCCCTTGTCTGTGTTGTGGTTTATATTCCCCTCTTACAACAACATGTAATAAACACTTTCATAAATAAGTAAGTACAACAAGAGAAAGTCCCCCTTTAAAAAATCAGCACAAATTGTTTGTCTGGGTGGGAAGTTCAAGATGAATTCCACACATAAAAGTTTCTAAATTTGTGGCTTCTCGTTGAGTGCTTAATTTTTAAACTCTCAAAGCTTAAATGGTTTATGGAATTACTGACAGATTATGATCCTCAATCTGCTGTTCAAGTACAATCTTCACATATCACTTGCCTGCTAAAGTTTTCATTGGCATGCAATAACATTTATATAAAACACCACATAATTTGTGGATGATCACAGTCTACGCCCATTGTAGGTCTGCTGACTTATGAAACAAATCTGAACATCTGTGGTTGTTCTAAAGGAAAAATAAACTAATACTGTTTTTTAAAAAGAAGTGATCACAGATTGCTCTAAAAGCAGTTGAAGGGTTTTCTGTTTCTTAGATCTTATCTGAGCCTTTTTGAGAAAGGGTGATTTCAGAAAGGCTTGTTAGGCACAATCTAAGCTTCTCTGAAGAAGAATATGATTATTCCAGGAAGCTGGAGAGGCCACAACTTAGCAAGGTGAAAAGAAAAATATGTTGGAAATGGATTTGTAATGTAAGGTAAGTGAAATCCTGACAGGTTTGTGAAACTCAAGCCAATCAAAACAGATACTTTATACAAGGGAAGTTCACCTTTGACTGTCTTTTCTCAAATGCTGTCCTCTGTCAAACAGAATATGTCTAAAGAGGCTAGTTCTGTATTTTTAAACAAAAGTTCATGTGGAAAGTGTATTTTTAATCATAAACATTCATCAAATTTAAAATTCAAACCAGTATTTTCTTTTTAGAAGTTGAGTTGGTTTTGGTGTCCTTTTCCATTGCTTTCTAATTCAGGGAGGGGGGGGGTAAAATTCAAAAAGCTATTTCTTTCAATGCAAAATGTGATAAGGTTTTTGAAGTGACACATCCATTTTAAAATTTTATTCATACAGTCTTGGTGACTTTAGAAATTGTTTTAGCAAATCTTACGAGTTAAAAGTTTTTTCTCTAAAAATGTCAGCTATTGACATGATATGAGTAAGATTTTCTGATGGTGCTTTCAAAATGCTTCTGGTGATCTCCATTAAGAATTTTCATGCTCTAATTATAATGATACGGTGCAGAATTTAAGTTTACAATGGATTATTTTTTTTCTTATAATAGGGGAATATTCAACAACACCAGCAAAAGATACAGAAACAGACAGACATCACAGAGGGTCGGATGGCAAGGTACGAGCCCGGTCAAAAAGAAGCAACGATCCTTCCCCTACTGCTGACAGTGAGATTGAGGTAATAACTTTAATTTATATTCCCTTAGTAAAGCCAGCAAAAATAATCAGTTGCATCAGTTAGCAAATCCCACCATCAGACTAGCGAGTAGTGAGAACCAGAATAAAATGAGTAATACAACTGGAGCCTACAGACATCGGTAGTCAAAATAATTCTTCACTGTCTATATTATCAGCATCTCAAGCTATTCTTCAGATGTTCTTTGTTTTTTTTCCTTTAGGCTTTTTAGAAGTCTGCTGATTTGTTCCCCTGACTTGATGTGCAACAGGGGATTTCAATAGTTGCTAGCAGAGCAGACACTCAGGATGACCAGCACACACACAGTTCCAAAATTCCCCATGTTTCATTTTGCCTGCTTTCACAAAGCATCTACAGTCAGGGCTCCAAATAAGTTTGTGATCTTAAAAAGCTCTATTCCAACAGGACATATTTCCTGACTGAACGAATTCTTGCAGTTGCTTAATATGTAACTATATTTCTTTTTTCCACCCCATCTGTCATCACAGCGTGTGTTTGTGTGGGATTTGGATGAGACGATAATTATTTTTCACTCCTTACTCACGGGAACCTTTGCATCCAGATATGGGAAGGTAAAATTTAATTCTTTTAGCATTACTGCTTGTCCAGCCAAATTGTGTCGGGAACTGTGGGGGCAGCTAATGAGACAGCTTTGCAAGCAGATGCTGCTGATTTTATTCAGACATATTTGTATAAATATGTCCTGTGGTATTTCCTTCTAACATGCGAAAATTTAATTTACCTCCCTTTCATGTTGCAAGTAGCCCCTTGTTTTTCAAAGGCTTGTATTGTTCAGCTGCTGCTAGGTGGGACATCAGGATGTTCTTTCAATGTCTGTCTTCTGCAAGAAAGAGCCTATCTAGCAGCCAGAGAGCATTAACTCTCATTTGAATGAGGTAACACATTTTTTATTAGACCGGTGTTTTCATATGAATTTCAGACAACTTTGTAAGAGAGATTTTGTGTTTGTCAGTCTAGTCTGCCGTGAAGAATACTGGTTCTGCTTCCTTACTGAAGCTCACAATTTTAAGGGGATTTAGGAACCCTGTCTTTAGCTATCAATACTTTAGATACCCCCTTTGAATTGCAGGCAATTCCCTTTTGGGTTTTTTTGAGGTAACTGTGGCTGAACAGACTGAACTTGGCTGCTAAGGAGAAAATGCTGGCTCTTGGATTTAGTACCAGGTGCTTTAATTTCTTCTTAAGGCAGCTTTTTATGATAAACACTTAAGTCACTTTGAATTACAGAATGTCAAACACTTTTAAATGGGTAGAAAAAAAGACAATATCATTACCTAATTAAAGGTGGATGACCTAGTTGGCAGCTGTTTCCACACATGGCTTTGAACAGTCAGCTTCATCAGGAGACTGGAAAATAACCCAGCATCTCTCTAGAAAGCAGAAATATGATTTGACATCATTTCATGGCTTTACCAGCTGTACTTGTTTTACGATTGTTATAACAAGCTGAATGTGTAATTAGTAAGATAGATTTATTGTTCGCTGTTAGATGTGCACAGTTGTAAAGGATATAAAATGGTGTTTGTGGTGTGGAAGTCTACTGCAGCACTTGGAATGCTGCTAACACTTCTAACAGCACCCTCTGAAAACCAAGCACGTGTTTCCAAGCAGGGATTTATTCAGACCCATGTTGTACAAGGTAATTGAAGCAGTTACTTTTCCCAGGACGTAATGAAGGAGGTATACTTGTGTAAGCTCAAACCTTCTGCCTGCAAAAAAAAAAAGAATTAGGCACGATCAGGAAACATAAACTTATGCTGTGTAGACCTGCTATGTGGTCATGCTTTGCATTGGGTAGGGGCTGCAGTATACATATGGAGAATTCCCTTAATGGGCTGAGTTTGTGCTAGCATAAAACCTCTGAAGCAGATGCCTTCATCTGCTGCCTCCTGCACAAGTTTAGAGGGTACACAGTTGGGATCTGCTGCATGGGGACAGGAGATGGTGGACCAAGGGTGTGATGGACCCATGGGGGTGTACTTGCCACTGCAGTACCTGTGAGCTCACTGATGTGCTGCCACAAAGGCAGAAGCTGCCATCCCTAGAGGAGCTGGCGTGGGTATAAAGTGGGGTCAGGGAGTGGAGCCAGAAAGGATTTATCAAAAGCAGTCTCCACAAGCTGTTTCTGTCAGCCAGGAGAACCATTTCCTTTATACAAATGTAAAGAATGATACAAACAGGATTTTTTTTTTTTAAGTAATTAATACCTTTTCTGTGAAGTTACAAGAGGCTCTTTGAGAAAATTCTCTAGAAGGATTTTTTTTTTTTTTTTGGTAGTTCTTCATTTGTTTCATCAGCATTAAATTCCTCAGGGCTTTCCTATAAGGGAAATGGTTGTGTTATAAAAGTATTATAGGCTAACAGCTTGATCCAGAGACAACCAGAGGCTTTGGTGGGCTTTGGAACAGACCTTAAACCAGGAGGGAAATACAGCACACTCAGACAGGCTGTCCTGGGAACCATTAAATAGTAACACAATTCAAAAATGTTTAATTGAGCTGAACTATTGAGTACAAGTGAAGCAGTGAGCAAGAGATTGATAGAGTTTCAGAATCTCTTACTCGAAAAATGTAGGAAGTGTTAATTTCAAATTAAGTATCAAGACTAAAAATCTTAGGTTTTGTCTATAATTCATTATAAAACGTTCATATGCCTGTAACTGGACAGGCACATGCTTTGAATTAAATCTCACACATGGAGGTCTTGGTTCTGTATGTCTTCCTCCAGAAGTGTCAGTTTATATGATCTTCACCATTCCCCTGACTAACATTAATGTCACAGTATCATCCTGTCTGTTGCATTGGTAGAGCTGCTGCGCAGGCACTCAAAGAATTAGTCTATAAAGTCAATAAAGCTGAAGAATAGCATATCTTTCTGGGGTGATTTATCTGGGAGCAGGGGAGGAGGAACATCAACCATAGCTTCAGAGACTGGAAGCTAAACTCCTGTGTTCTTTAGCTACAAAATCTCAAATCGCTCTGTTTAATGCCCCTTGGTGATGGCAGCAATAGGGAACTGTCCAGAAACCTCTTGATTTGAGGAAAAGAGTGAGGAAATCACAAAAAAGATTACCAGTTGTAGTCATATTATTAATCATTAATGCTTCAGTGTATGTTTTCTGACATAATTTCATGGGAAACTTCTTTGTTTGGTTTCTGAGAGGAACCTCTATGGTCTTTGCTATAGGTATGGGCTCCTCAGAGCATGGACAGTTCATCTCAGGTGTTTAGAAAATAATTTTCTTACAGCACTGATAGAAGTTAAACCACCAAATTGAAGCATGAATGAATGGGCCAACCTAGGTTACTCCTTTTTTGTCTCCTCTACCCAGACTCTTTACTCTATCCCATGGATTATACAGTCATCAGACATTTGGTCTTAATGTTTTCCCCAGACGGTCACTTCAGTATAACCTTTATAGTAGCAGTCAGAGTGGCCTGCAGCTTCACATCTCCCTCTGCTTTCTGCCCACGGTTGAATGGATGCATACCTGCACAAACAGACAGAGTCACGGTCTTAAGTGATTGGGGCAGCAAAGCTGTCAAACCCGAGGAAATCTCTCCACCCTTTGGTTTCTCAGCAGGAGGCCCTCTGACAAGAAAAGGTAAAAAAATAAAGTTCCATAGGCAGTAACTGGATATTATGTTCAGGAGAGTTTAGAAACCTGTTTTGCAGGCTTGTGATCACTGTATCAGTGTAGGAATATTTACCATGTGCCTAGAGACCATAACAGATGTAGACTATCATTATAACTTAATGTACTGTCCACCCAGTTCTTTTAAACCCTTCAGGCATGCATAATAGAGCTTCCAATCAACAGGAGGTGGGCTGTAGTCTTTACTGTGTCTGCAAGGATCTGCCCACCAAATCACTGACAAAACATAATGGGAAAAAAGAGTCAAAATCCATAACAGTGCTGCTGGGGTTTCACAGGAGTTCGGTAAAAGTCAAGGGGCTTTGTTCATTTGTTTGAAGCAGCTAAGGAAAGAACAGACAGTTTGGTGGTATTAATTCAGACACAATAAGAAGAGATTGCATGTACTCCCTTGCCAAAAAGAAAATCATGAGTCTGTTCCCCTTGCCCTGACTGAGATTTGCTTGTTCCATAATCTGTGCTGTCAGAGCATTAAAGAAAACAAATCTACATCTCTTTCAGCCTGAAAAATCTTAGGTATTATGTTGCAGATTCATTCATATGCTTTTCAGAGGACTAGTATCAAAGAAAAAGGGGGCCCTGAGTGTGTTGTTTTCCCTAGCTGAGGGGTAGATGTGAAGCTAATACCTTTTCTCAGTATTTTGTATTGTTCCTAGAGTGTGAATTCTTGTTCTGTGTTGGTACACTCCTTGGGATTTTAGTGTCAAAATGAATTGCGAGTAAAGTAAAATCTGGAGTTAAAATTGATCTTTCTGTGCAAGTTACTCTGAAATCCTGGAACCAAATAGAATGGATTTATTTTAGCACTGACTTAAAGAATTGAATACATGGAACAGTCGAAATTCTTGAGTTGTGTTGGACCTTTATCAGTACTCTGACCATGTCTGCTGATACCTGGGAGTTACAATCTATAAAATTCCCTGTAAGATGTGTAGCAATTTCTGAGATTGTTCAGCATCTTCAATTCGCTTGAATTGAGAAAAATATACTGCAAAAAATAACAAAGCACATTATGTCACATATTTTAGTTCACCTTTGCTGAAAGGTGTTTAGATTGCCTGTATTGCACCATGTCCCAGAGCCTCTACTGTGTAGTTGTTTTGCCTGGAGTGGCCACTGCGGCTGCTTTTATTGAGTACTCGCAGTTTGCCTTGTAGTCACTTGATTGGTACAGAGGTTTGGTTGATATGATGGCCATATTTTTTTACTGCTTTTGCATTTCAGCAGTGGCAACCTAAGATGAGTTGTGAGCAGACAGGTATCAGTGAGATAGAGGTAGGACATGCACTGAAGTTCGCAGCCCGTGCAAACATGGGCTCTGACTCTCTCCTGAGGAACTGGCAGAGGCGCAGGTATGTGAAGGACTAGGAGAGGGTCCTCCAACAACAGCCAGGCCTCGAGACCTTTTAGACAGAGCAGCTAAAGTCGCTGCTTGGCCCAGTTGAGGTAAAGATGATTTTCTAGCATTTCAAGCTGCTGTCTGTGAACTGGACTATGTTGTTCTCACCAGAAATGATGTTTTGGGTCTAAGAAACTTCACTGCTCACAAGTTTCACCAGCAGTTACATAGTCCTACAAAAAAATTGCCTTAAAGTGAATTAGGATTTCCAATTAAAAAAAAAAAAAAAGTCATTGAAAAGTTCCTGCTTGGATCTACTCAAGATCCCTGTAAAACCCTAGGGTTGATTTTTTTTTTTTCTTTTTTTATTCCTGTTCTCATTGAATGCTTCAAGTAGTTCGTGCTTTTTCCCGCTTGTTCTCTCACAGGACCCGATTGAAACACCATAGGGATTTAATCAAATCTGATGGTGATTCATGCTTCTAATGGCTGAATCTGTCCTTTACTACTTTACAAACTGAGAAGGAATAAAACCCCATTTTATTGCTCGGCTGTTAAAAACTATTTGTAGAAGTTGCTAAGGTTCAAATCAAAAGCTCCCTCCCTTGAGAACTATTAGTTAATTCTAAGTGCCATGGCATCGCTTTTTTCCTTCTTCTCTCGCTTGAGATGTGGCCTTATATCACGACTGCTGTTCAGACATCTGAGAGTTTTCCATTCCTTTGACAAACATGAGCCAAAGTGCTTAAGGACATCTGTTTATTTTATTTCTTTAATGAGAAAACCTTCCAATTTCTTACTGGCTCAGCTGTGTTTATTTACATTTTGTTCGTCATATGTGTGGGGCACCTTGGGACGTTAAAAACCTGCAGAGGCCTATGCTGAGGGCTGCTAGCAGGCATCCTGGTCAGAAAGGCAGAATAAGCCCTTCCTAAGGAAAACACAGTCTTTGGAACTCCATAAAATAGATTTTCAAAACAAATAGTGCCTAATTCACTCAGTAGATCATGGATTAAGTCAAGATGAATACAATTTGGAAAGGATTTTCTGAGGAAGTTGGAGATTTTTTTACCCACTGGAGGCTAAACCTTGTGTTTAATGCCTTTTTAAGTTAAATTAAAAAAGCATTCAGTCACTGCAGGTAATAAAGAAGTCTGTTACTTTAGACATGCTGCTATATCAATTATTAGTTCATTATTGGAGAGAAGGGAGTAAATAATTCCAGCCATTTGATTATTTCAAATGTGTATTTCAGGAGCAAACATCTGTGTTTATCATCTGTGCGCTTGATGAGAAGCAGCAGGAGAAACAGCAAAACCAGATCCACGACAGCTTAGATGGTGGGCACGGGAGATGCTCTGAGCTCGTGTAGATGTAACCTCTTGTACTAGAGCTTAGGAGAGCAGAGGGTTTTCTAAGCAAAGTGCACATGTGGTATTTGGAAGTATTAAAGGATTAATTTCGACATAAAATATGTATCAGAAGCAATGCTGGATTGTCAAACAAGCATGAGCAAAAGGACCCTACTTTCCAGTATCACTGAATCATGACTTGATTTTAAGGGAAGAATAGTTTGAAAAACAGAACGACATAACTTGTGTTAGGAAGTTGCATGTGCGAAATACATAGTTGTGCAGAGGATTGCACGCAGTGGTGTGTTTCCACCAAGCTTTCCAGGAGTTCTGTATTTTTCACAGTTATCAAGGGCTTGCATAGAGAAATAGAATGATTTTGCAGTGCTGAGAAGGAATGAAGGTGTATTTGGTTTTAATTTCACTCCCTCTTATGCCCTGTATAATAAAAAAAAATATTTGTAGATTTTTGAATCTTTTGCATTACTAAATCAAAGTAATTCCCATTTGTTCTCAAGCATCATGGCCCAGCTTTTCACCTGTATTTAAGTACAGTATTCCCACAGGACCATTTAAGAACTCATGGGTTCAGACACTGGGTAAATTAGTGTAGTCATTACTGCTTGTCCCTGAGCATAGTTCATTTAAAGTAGCCTTTTCAACCTCCATGTGCTCTTGAATGTAAGGATTTAATGACTGACATGCCCATTTGCTTATTTCCAAGGTGTAGTCCCCAACCATTTCTGAACAGATACATGCCAGTAAAATGCTAGTCCTTCAGTAAATAATAAGCAATAATTTGGAAGTATCTCTCAAGTCACAGTAAGGGTGACTGTGAAAACCTATCTGAAGAAAAGGGATTAAATGGTATTTGCTGTCCATCTAGCATGGACCTTTCACAAGCTTGCACTGTGCTGACTGTAGATGCTATTCATTTACATTTGGGAGATTGTCTAATAAACCTGGATATATCAATGTATATCTTCGTTTTGGGGGGAAAAAGGTTTAGAGCCTGAAAAGCTGAGTGATTCTATTTGAATCACTTACTTAAGAAGTCTAAAGTGCAGTTACTTCAGTCACTTCTGAAAATGGGTTTTGATTCTGAGCTACTTTAGTTACTTAAAGCAATGTTTCTCACAGGTACCTGCTCTCTCAATTGAAAACTCTGAGAGCCTGGGTCTGGCTATAGCCTGAATCTATTAAAAAGGTAAAATTGCAATCCAAGCTACTGAAGTGTAGTAAAATAGATAAATGTGTTCTCTTCCTCAAGAAGACGTGGACTTACTTGAACTGGAACTGATACACATGTCCTATAATGGGAAACCCTTGTTCGTGTCTCGTTCTGATCGAGGTATAAAATGTTACAGTACAAGAATTATCATTCTCACAGACTCTTTCTGTTCAAACATGTAGCCCAGCATTTGGATCTTTGCTTTTTCTATTATTATTTTTACTTTTATATAACAACCGAGCTGGCCCATTTTTCAGGAGTTTCCAAGTAATTAAACCCAATTAAAACTATTAAATTCTTTCTTTTGGTGACAACTTCATTATTAAGAGCTAACCACAAGGAGGAGATTTAACTTGGAAAGCCCTTGATTGTATACTAATCCGTCTCTCACCTCTGGCTGACACCTGTGGCAGATAAACCCTAGAGAATAGGAGTCTGATGAATACTCTTAATTAATACTTTCTTCCTTGTAGAAAGTAATTATTTGCTCATGGCATAAACAGGTATTTGGCAGGGATTTAAAGAGACTGATTAGTTTTAAATACTAGGGCTTTATTTTGTTGGGTATTTTTTAAATGGAGGGGAGGTCTGAATCCAAGATCCATGCTCAGAATGACTTTGTCCTAACATTCTGAATGTCGGGATAATTGGCACATTGCTAAATAGAAGCAGAGTCAGACAAGAAGCTGATTTGTTATCCATCTCAAAGGAGCCAGCTTTGCCCCTTTGCTAATGGCCTGCAAGTCTGAACAAGGTACCTGTAAGGCAGAGGCTTGGAATGGGCTTTGGAGCCAGGATTGGAGGCGAGAGTGACTTGCACTTGAGAGATTGCCAGAGATAAGTCTTTTTCTTTCTTCCTTTCAACATTACAGCGTGCAAGAGGGGAGAGTTGGCTATGGACATCCAGCCAACTGGATTAGCAGTAGCTGCAGGTGTTAGCAAATACTATCTCTAATGCATACTGTAGGACAAATACAAGCAGTTTATGAAAAATCAATCTCAGTGATTTGGGAGAGCGGTGGTAAGGTTTTAATACAGACCCATTTGGGACCATCCTGTACCTTCAGTCTGGAGAAAAGAAGGCTCAGGAGGGACCTTATCAATCTCTGCAACTACCTGAAAGGAGGTTGTAGTGAGGTGGGTGCTGGTCTCTCCTCCCAAGTGGTAAGTGATAGGACAACAGGTAACGGCCTCAAGCTGCACCAGGAGAGGTTTAGACTGGAGATTAGGGACAGTTTCTCCACCAAGAGGGTGCTCAGGCAGTAGAACAGGCTGCCCAGGACAGTGGTGGAGTCACTGTCCCTGGAAGTGTTCACAAACCGTGTAGACGATGCTCTCAGTGACACAGCTTAGTGGTGGCCTTGGCAGTGCTGGCGAACAGTTGGACTTGATGATCTTAAAGGTCTTTTCCAACCTGATTGATTCTATGATTCTATGAAACTACTACTTCTCTTTGTTAAAAGTGGGAGTGAAGGGTGCATTGAGGAGGAGGAGTATCAGTCTCTTTGAGAATGAATACTTCACAATGACCACTGCTCCACTGGTGCCTATTTTCCCCAGCTGATGGGAAGAAGCCTGTTAAAGCTGTGCGTTGGAGGGTCAGGAGTGCCTGGACTGTCATGTGTGCGCACCAGAGGTTAGCACTAAAGTAATTTGTGGAGCTGTTTAATTGCGACCCTAAAGGAAGCTCCAACAGCAGTGCATGGCAGAGGTGAGGCACACAGGGATATGCTGTGGTGCTGGAGGTTTTGTTTACAAAAGGAGTTCATTGCCTGTTTTCTATCCCTGCCTCTCATTGTCCTTGTTTGTGAAAGCATGACTCCTAGATTAGCAGAGGGGTAAGACCTTGCTTTTCTAAAGTTACTAAACAAGCACCATGGGTTCAGTTTTTAGATTAATCTGTCTTCTCTGTAAAAAGTGGTTCCTGGAGGAGATTTGATTTCAAGCTGTCTGCGATCCATTCTTCCTTGGGCTCATATGCATCAGAAAACTAGATCTGTTACCCAGGAAGCTTGTTTGCAGGGCTGCACGGTACAGTTTTCTCATGGAAGGACATGTTAGCAGGAATCAGTATGAATGTGGTAACTTTGTGTTGCTCTGTCAAACTTACACTGCTCTAACATAAGCATTAGCAGCCCACAGGGCATCTTCTGCAGCACAGATACCCTTTAGTGGTACAGAATTCCCCTGCCTCAGAAAAGCTCTTCATCATCCTCTTCAGGTAATTTTCATAGTTCTTGTTCAATTTACACACTGTATACAGAATTTGGACAACATGATTGATACACCTAATCTCATTTTGGTGCTTTCTCATCAGTCTGATTTTTCTGTTTATTCATACTTGGATTGAAAGCTGCATTGACTGTGTCTTTTTTCTGTGTGGGTACAACCTCTAGCACAGCAGGGTTCAAGTCTGGGTCTAGTGCTTCTAGATGCTACAGTAATGCAAATAAATTAACTGCCAGTGGAACCCTGGCCTAGTGCCTCTAGACACCTATACCATAGTGGGAGTGCTGATTTGCCTTTTAACTTTATCAGCCTCTTTAAGACTTGGAAGCATGCCTTGCTGTAGAGGAAATGTCCATACTGTGAAGGCAGTGATGCCAAATCATTTCCCCAAACGACTTCCCCTCTGGGTGGTAAAGTGCATTTTTCTGTTTTATTTTCATTCCATCATATTCTCTATCTCAAGAGAAAGATTTTACTTCCCCCCCCATCTACGTTTCTGTATAGTTTAGTTTAAGAGAAGGTAACTTCATGCAGTGTGGAAATGTTTCCTTCTCCCCATTAGTGATTAATACCAATGAAGTTGAAGACAAAACTCAGAGGATAAATGACAGATACCAACCAGTGAGATTTCCTGAAAGAGGTTTAAAGGCTAATGATCCTTGAAATGTATAAAAATAAATTGCTTCATTAAAAACTATTTTACAAAATAATTTCTTCCTAGCAGCATATTTTCTGCAAAACAGTTCCCCTGTGTAACTACACCTGGGTAGTAAAATTTGATTCAATGCTGTTCGCGTGGGGCCGCAGTCAAATGTCCTGATCATGCCTGTGTCCCTGTGCCTCATCAGGAGAGGAGGTTTGGGGCTTAAAATTAGAGACATGTTCAAGGCAAGTCTGTTGAAGTTTACTTTTTGCCCAGAGGAGAAAGTGCCCTTCTTTCTGGGACAGCAACAAGCATGTTTAAACATGAGTGACAGAGCTTTTCTTTAGATGGGCACAATGCTTGTGAGTCACACACATGGCTGAAACCACAGCCATTCTGCTCTAATTAAAGAGAACTACACCAAGAATGCGTAATAATTAGGTTAGTGTGTAATACACCATCCATGTCAACAGCATCTGCCACAAAGGTTGATTGAAATGTACTCATCCTCCAAACATTGTGCTCCCTGTTAGAGCTCCTCAACTAATTCATTGCCATCCTGTCATACAATAACATGACTCCACAGAAATCTGCAGAAAATTAGAGCAAAGACTACATATAAATCTGCCCTGGTTTAGCATGTAACTTCAGTGAAGGAAAACCACCCACATAAAACATAAAGATGAGAGATCTCTGTCCTAATGAAGATGAATTACAAAAAAAAGGCTGTGTGGGAATGCTCTGTTTTTTTCCAAGTTGTCTGTTGTTGTTTAGTTTGAACAGACACAATGCTTTTGGGCTGTGAGTGTTTATCAGATTAACCACAGATTAGTTTTTGCTTGTGTTTTTGAAGTATTTAATGAATAAGGAAATGTTCTGCTGGCGACCTTGTTTGCATCAGTGTGTTTCTGTACTTTTGCTGTGGGTTTAGGAACAAAGTTAGTTGTTGGGGGGCAGGAGGAATGGTTGACTTTATGCTCAAGACACATGGAACAGTTACTGAGATTCATTTAATATGGCAGTGCATGAGGCTGGGTACAGCAGGTCACTTGGTGGTGTTTCAGAGTAACAGATCCGTGTGGGCTGTATCCCTGTGCCCAGTGGGCAGCTTTGAAGCAGTGAGCCAAGAGCTGTAGGATCCCTGCAGCCACCATCCCCATCCAAGCTTCAGCTTGGAGCACCAAGTAGATCTGCTATGCACATGTAGTCAGCTGTTAAAGTAGCCTTCCAAGCCAGAGGATGAGAAAATAGCCCAGCCAAAAGTCATTTTTGCCATTCAGGATTGTCTGTGGGTGGCTTCTTTGCCCAAGCAGAGTCAGCCCTGTCAGCCTGACACAATTTAAGTTTGCACTTACTGAGTCGGTGGGGAAATGAAGTGGCAGCCATCTCACAGGTGGTTTTGTCTCAGATGGGTAACAACAGGCAGGGAAAAACATTAATTTTCTAAACCAAATCAACTAAACACACTGAAGTAGAGCTGCAGGTAGTGTAGTAGTCCTTCTCCAGAGGAATTTAATTCAGGTTTTGCCACTGATGTTGGTAGGAGCAGGATCTGGATGTGAGAAAGTTCACACATGCTTAAGAACATGTAGAAGCTGTTTCAGAGCTGCTGGCATGTGTGTTTTCATTCTCTTAATCGTTAAAAAAGTGTTTTAAGAGTGCTGCAGGCAGCCAGAGCTTCTGCATCATGTCCTTCCCTTTTAGGAAGCAGTTTGGGACCCTCTCAGGGAAGGGCCGGGTGAGAACCACACTTGGGTAGGTGAGGGGCTGCTGGCACAAGGAAATGGCAGAATGAGCAAACCTTCACAGTCAGCCAGCCCATGCAGACCGGAGTGGTGCATGCAGCAGTGTGGCTGCTCTTGTATCTCCTGTCTGGGGGCATATCTGCTGCTGATGACAGTAGATGCTGTTATTGTGCTGGACTCTGATGTGGGAACAACACATCTGCCTTTCTGTCTGGTTCTGTGCTGATCATCTAAGTTATGGCAGTAAAGACCTAAGCCAGATGTGCTGAGACACATGGATTGCACCCTCTAGAGAGACTGCATTTATGGGTTCTTATTTCAGATTTTGCTCACCAAGTTGCTTTTTGACATTAAAAGAGAATAATGCTGACCTTCTGGGGCTGGTTTGAAGGACAGAGTCAAGAAAGGATCCCCCTCTGTGTACTCTGTTGCTTGTAACTCTCTCCTAACCATTCCCTAATGACACTATTGGAAATCAATTCTTCGTCTAAACTACTAAAGCAATTCTTATACAGTGTCAGGTGTTCAAAGGTTCTTGTTATATCATCTGAAGCGTGTGGGCTATTACTGATCAAGGCAAGCCATAGACATCTTTCAAAGAGCAGAATTTAATTATCTATGAAAGCAGAAGAAAGGATAGGAAAACCATTTTAAGATACACTTGGGAAATAAAATCACTTTAATGAGCCTATCTTCAGAAACAGGACTGTGTAGATCCTATGTTTGCTCTAAGATCTCCTACCTCTCCCTCCCAGAAAAAAAGATCAAAGTGAATGTATAAAAACCTGGTTATATTTTCCCCTCACAGGACACTACAACGTCTGTGCGGATAGGTCTTATGATGGAAGAAATGATCTTCAACCTTGCAGATACACATCTGTTCTTTAATGACCTGGAGGTATGTAGCTGCTTATTTTATTTAACATCTCTCTCTCTAATCATTTGCATCTGGTCTACAAACTTGTTTTTCTGGCCAAGAAACTTTCATTTTTGACCCCAAAGAAATGGGCCTTAGATGTCTTATTGGAAGCATACTTCACTGTGTCCCTTTGACATCTTCATTCTGTTAAGGAATTTTTTTTCTAAATACACAGTAACAATGATGGCTTTTGGCAGTTTTACTAAATCTAATAATGAGGACATTGCTGCTGCTTCTCCTGAAATTTGCTATTTAATAATTTTATTAAGCTAAATTAGCAAAGATCCTATGGGGCAGGTAGCAATTAGTTGTGAGCCACTGCAGGAGGGTTTAAAAATGGTCTCTGTTCTTGAGGATATTCTGCTTGCACACACAGAGCAGGAGGTCTGCTCAAGCTGAGGCACACTCCAAGTTGGAAACTATGGGAGTTTCAACATTAAAGACCAACAGGAAGAATCCTTCCTGTTTGTGGCTTGGTTAGATCTGACTATGCCTTATACAAAGCAGAAATCCTCTTGAATACAGTAAAATTCAAGCAAAGCGATGCTAGCAGATGATGATAAAAAAAATCTAACATCCCTGGGTAGCGCTTTATGGTCTTTTTCTTCACTTGAAAAAGGAGGAATTTGTTTCTGTGCTGGATGAAATGAGATATCTTTTTGTGTGCCTGCTGAGTTCAGTGTGAACTCCTGGTTCCTTCACTGCTTAATTGCACTGTGGTCCTTCGCATTACAGGAGGTACAACCTTTCCTGCCACCTGTCTCCTTAGAATCTGAGGGTTCACTTGCTGAGATTTTTCATTTCCTTTTGAAGACAAGCAGTGGCCAACACCTGAACTGACAGATATTTCCTCTTTCAGCTCTTTTCAAAGAGGGAGTTGGTGATGAGGTTATGAGAAGTACAAACTGAAAAAGTCCTCCTTCGGGAGGGGGAAGTGGAAGCTGCTGTTTGGAAGTGCAGGGTACTGTATAAGGAGTGATAATATTTAATATGCAACCAGCACTTTCCACCCATCAGATCTTACCATCTAATGCAACAAAGCTCCATGTCCTGCACAAAGTCACCCTCTGGAAAACTTCTCCCTATCTAGACTCTTGCAAAAATAGAAGTTGGCAAATCATTTTAAAACAAGTTTTTTCCTTGCTTTACTTACTGCTCTAAAACATGAAATGAAGTACGATTAGGAGGAACAACACAGGAGGGCATACAAAGATGATAACTAAAACCGTTTGTGTAAGTAGTGCTATTTTGTTGCTGCTTGAAAAAAAGAAGCAAATTTCAGTGGAAGGAATTGCAGCAATAGTCATCCATCTCTGTTCATTAACCACCCTACTCCTTCATTTAGGATGATAAATGTAAGTCAGATTTGAGTATTCAGAAGGTCATACTTAAGGATCATACATCACCAAGCGCAAGGTTTGGACAAAAAAAAAAGATGGTGAATTATGTTCTTAGAACAGAAAGAAGAAATTGGTAAAAAACAAGCACAGAAGCTGATTCAGTTCTAGACCCACAAACATTACCATGTACGTTAGCACCATCATGTGGTATAACACTGGTCTGTACAGGACAAAATAAGCTAAAAACATTCAAACCCTTTTCTGAGCATCTTCTGTGTTGGAGTGGCGTGAGAGAAGCTGTAACCGAGCAAGCAGCAGGGTAGCTGCCCAGCAGTCTGGATGATGGGGCACACTACAGATGTGCTGCCCCATGACAAAGGATCAAGGCACCAAACCTTGACAAAGGCAGGCTGTGCATTGCACTTCCAGGGCATGCAGTGGCACAAGCATTGCTCTGTTCAGGAGGTTGTTTGCAACATAACCCACGCAAGCAAGGCCTCTGTTTTCTGAGGCCCATATTGAAATCATACAAGTGTGTGTTTGCCACACTAATTTGTCCCCTCATATGGCATATAAGCATAAGTATAGGCCACACAAGAGGTTGTGTACTTGTGTGCCGGGATCTCACTGCAGCATATATCAGGAAATATTCAGTTGAAAGGAACACTTTCTGTTCCCCTTTTGGGACACTGGGGTTACAGATCACAGTGAAGCAAAAATACAAACTCTGAGCTTTCCAGGGTTGAGCTTTTTCTCCCAGATGCCTTTTGTTCACAGTGCAGTGCTGGCTAAAGAATAGTACCTTCTGCCTCCAGTGCCTCTGGAGATACTGTTGTCTAGCACTCTGAAAAACAGGCATTAAGGACAGGAGAACTGACAAGCGGGTGAGGAATTAACAAACAAGGGGATAGGGGATTAGTGTGTTTACAAGTTACTGCCTTTCAGAGCCATCCCTGGAGGGTTTGTGTTCTGGGAACTGTTAACTCCCCACCTAATGAGGGATGTGAGCTTGGCTGATCAATGAATCCATAAGATGTTTAAAAATCTCTCACACGGTCCTGATATACAAACAGTGACAAGCTGTGCATTCATCAGTTGTTTTCATATGTGCACAAGACATACCTCGACAGCATTCAGAGCGAGCATAAGCAATAACAGAAGGCGCTTCTCCATGCATCCTCAGGAACAGCTTGTGTTTCACAAGGAGGCAGCAGAGGCTTTCTCCAAGCCTGCAGTACTGTTTCAAGTCTGCATTAGCTCAGGCTCCTTCACATGTAGGTACAGGGGTCTGGTCCCACCTGGAGGCAGGTTGTGTGGCACAGACTGACCTAGAGATACCACAACAGTAAAAACAGTTCAGTTCCCAGAGCTGTGAGGGTTGGCTGAGGTCTCACAGGTTTGACTCCGTTACAGGCTGTATATGCCACACATCATATCCCTCAGAGATCCTAGAGCATCATTTAAAAAGTCAGCAGATGTGAAAACTGGGATGTGTTCCCACTGCAGACATCCACTCCAACAATCTGGTTCTCCTTTGCAGCAGCCCAGATATCCTGCCTTGATTCCCTGCTCACTAAGATTTCAAAGAAATTCTGCAAGAACGAAAAATTAGTCTTGTAACCAAGCAGTAAAACATGGTCCATGTTCTGCTTTAACCAGCTTCCCTGTGTTTCACCCAGTAACATGATAGGCTCAGCCGGTGGACTATGAGGTAGCGTCTCACCAAGTGTCATGGTATTTTATTAAGTTAGAAATGTGATAGCTACTGTTGTCACACTTCAGTGTACAGAACAATTCATTCACAAATGAGAAAAACAGATCTGTCCGCAAATACCTTTCCCCTGACTTAATGCCCTGCATCACACAACTGAAGTGCAGTGGACTGCATCAATACTTTCCCAGCATGGCTCACAACAGCCACTGGGAGGGAAGCTTAAAAATAATGGGGCTAGAGGGGAGAAAAAGAAAGAGATGCCAGCAGAGATCTGCTATTTAGCCTCTTGGCTCCAATTATATGCAGAAATACACACCCCAGTTATAGGTTGATAAGAGGACAAGAACAAGATAAAATTGTGTCTGAGCATTATCTCAAATGCTGCAGAAAACCTCATGAACAAGAACTACCTGTGACATTTCGCCATTGATAACAAATCTGGTTAATTGTTTGGGGATGATTTTCTTTTTTTTTTTTAAAAGGGCTTGTTTAAAGTATCTCATAAACTTCTAATTGTGTAAAGAAGGTAAGACAAATTCTGTGGTTTACAGAATAATGTAGAGGTGAAAACTAACTATACCCTGGTTAGTTGCAGTTGTTCTGACTTTGGAATCCTGTTGTACCAAGCCCTTTTTTCTTCTGTTGAAAAATCAACCAGAGCAAAAGATAAGAGTTCATCAGCTTGAATGAAGGCTTTCTGTCTTGTTCTAACTCGCAAGGGTCATGAAGAAAGGAGATTTAAGGTGGTGGGAGAAGCTTCCTGTTTTTAACTCTTTCTAATCTTAATGCTAAGACTAGGAAAGAGACCAAAGAAATCACATTTCTCAAATTTTTGAGGCAGGGCCTCCACCATTCAAACAACGAAGAATTTTGGAAGATAAGATCTAGAGTACACGCTTCATGCAGGCTGAGCTCCAAGTATATACTCTGGTTAAACTTCCTGTGCATAGATTTCCTCATTACTGACACACATTCTTCCTTCACTCTGTCTGTGGCTGGGGCTAGGAAGGGCTGCCGCCTTCAGTGCTTCTGTCCAGATTCCCTGCACATCAAAGGAAGCTCAGCCCCCTCAGAACAAACACTGGCAGGACAGGCAGCTCTGGAAAGTTCTTTGGGACAGATCTGCCTGGGTAATTATGTGGGCATGCACCTCCTGTCAAAAGCAGTATTCTCGCAGGGGAACAGGCTGCCAAATCTCTGCCTTATCATGCATACAAAGTTTTAAAACCACAGTTTTCCTGGCAGAAACCCAAGCATCTCTCTCCCTCCTGTCTGCATAGGAGGGAATTCCACTTACTGTAGTATTCAAGAACTGTTTTGCCCTTAGATAATGGCAGATCTCACATACACACTCTTTGTCTAGTCATATTTTGTACAAGTGCTATGTGATGCTTGTTCCTAACAATTAACTGGCTAGACTATGCCAGACAATACTAAGATTTTATCTTCTTAATATTACATTTAATGCAATTTTTCATTATGTTCTTTCAGGTTTTTTTCCAAAGCATTTACTTACTGCTGTATTTTTTTTCCATACACTTCTCAGGACTGTGACCAGATCCACATAGATGATGTATCATCAGATGATAATGGTCAGGATCTAAGGTACGGGATCTCCTGGAAGCTGCAGGTCAGGTAGTCCCCAGCTGTTTGAAAATAGGAGGGGGCTGGTCAGTGATGTAAAATAACATTCTCAGTCATGCACCCCCTCCCTTTCCTGGCTCCATGCTGTCTGCATTAAGCACACAGAAGCACAGAATCCCCTTTCTCACATTAATATGTGTGTGCCTACTGTCAGGCCCTGACTGTACTGAGCTTTGAACCATTCTGGGAAATACACTTAAAATTAGCTTAAACTCCAGTCAGTCTACACTGGTTTCTGATGTGATTTGGCCAGCCACTTAGTGCAGGTATGGCCAAAATGCTTCAAAACCATATCAAAAGATTTCCCACTGCCCAACCTGTAATACATGGGCTCAGCAGTGAGATTTATGGACCTTGCCATGCCAGAGTTCTGTTACTGGTAGAAACTTATCTCAAAATTGCTCCAAACATTATTATCTAAGTTAGATTATCATGTACCTAAAAAATACTTCTGTACAATTACATCACCTTTACTAAAGTGTTGGCAGCAGAGTCATGATAACTGGCACAATAATTAAATGGGAAGAGCTCATATAGAGCTTTATATTTTATGTTTTTCTGGCTGGTGATTATGAGAAATGGGTGCAGAAACAGCATGGAAAACTATGAAGTGTTTTAGGGAAGAGACTTTTTCTTCTGCAGAGAACACTTGAAAGATTTCTTGCTGTAACTGAACTGATAGTTTGTGCTCTGCAATGCACTGAAGTGGCACATATTTATTTAGGTCCTTTGCCTCCAGTGGCCTGTAAGCAGGTGAGGCTGGATACTTGCTCAGACATTGATTAAAACATTACTTTGGGGTTTATCTCAGTCAGTCCACTTACCTTGAGTGAATGGAAAATCTGTATGCTAACAACACATCTTGAATTCTGTGAAAAGCCCCTCCCTGAGTGGTTTCAGTTGTTTCAGAAATACTTCTCAGCTGCTCCTGGTTTGTCTGTGTGGGAAATGAAGCTGAGCTGACTGCACTATGTTAAGCATAATTACTCCTATCTGGATGCTCTAATGCAGAAATAGGGTGGCATCAGGGCTCTCTAGATAGGGAAATTACTATGCAGTAAATCAGGATGTGAATGTACAAGCACTGGCTACTCCCCCAGTGAGGTGTCAGAAGCACTATAAGCGGAGCTAGCTTCAGGCTGCACCTGAGAAGGATAGTCTGTCCCCCTCAGCCTTTCTGTCCCTTCCTTTGCTCTGCTTCCAGTTGAGTTTATCCAGATCCACTGGGTCTGTGACCTGATCTGACCAACTGGTCCCCCATGAGCTGCAGCTGCCCTCTCCCATCGCAGCTCAGTCTGAGACCTGCTCAGACCATGAAACCGGTCCTGATGCTGTCATCCAGCAAACATTTGAGGATGACATGAGCTGGTACTGGCTCTTTCCATGCCCTGACTCCCAAACCAGGGAATCCAGATGAAAAGTAACTTCTTCTTTTTTTTAGTTCTGTTCTCTTTTAACTGGAACAGTTCCCTGATCTGATTCACCTCAGTGCTGAAGAAGTCTTTGTACCAGCCTGTGCTGGTACAGAGAAAGGGGCATCGAGGAGGGCTGAAGACAGGAGTAAATGTCTGGCAGAAGGCAGGATTGCTTCCTTCAGAGAAACTGCCTGTTTAAGGTGTTTGTGGAACTGACGCTTGCCCCAGTTCATTGTGGTAATTACTGTAGAGTTGCTTTGAAGTATTAACTCAGTTTTAAAACAAAAGTAAACAAAAACTTCACACGGTGCGGGCAGTTAAGGCTCCTTTAGTTAATTTCTTAATCTTTTTTCTTGGTCTAATTTGTGTTCAGAGCCTGTGTAGCCACATAGCCAAGTAGTAAAAGGTAACACCAGGATTTTCTCCTTTAGGATGTATTTCTGCAGTTCCTTCAGCAGCCTGGGCAAGAGGCAGGTGAGGAAGTGCAGTGACCTGAGGACACACAGGTGTTTTGTAGTCCAGAGAACTGGCAGGGAGTGCTGAGTAACTTGCACTGTGTTTACAGTCAGAATGCCTTTTAATCTGTGCTAGTAACCATGCGAGAGATGAACTCCAGTTCTGCACAGTGTGTCCCGAGTGTAATGCTGCTGCCACTTGTCTTTACGTTTCTTTTCAACTGTTTCCACTCCCTGCTGGCACTGTATAGACTGCAATGTACTGACCTCTCCCCTTCCCTCCTCCCTTTCCCAGCACGTATAACTTCTCTGCGGATGGCTTTCACAGTTCTGCTGCCAGCACAAATCTGTGTCTGGGCTCCGGTGTGCATGGGGGAGTTGACTGGATGAGGAAATTAGCATTCCGCTACCGTCGGGTCAAAGAGATGTACAACACCTACAAAAACAATGTAGGGGGTAAGTGTCCCTAGCCAGGCAACAAGCCTGCCTTTCAACTCCCCAAATACTTCTGACCCTGCTGGGTCATCTCTGGAGGAGGTGTAGCAAGCATCCTGATAAAAGTACTTAACAGAGAGCTGACCAACTGTTTCAGCAGCCATCCTTAAAGAAGGTTCTGCATAGGATTTGCAGGAGATATGCTAAAATACCTGGTTTAGTGGTTCAAGAGGGACTTAAGTCGAAGTGTGGGGCTTTATTTTATAATTTCTTAGGCAGGAAAGTGATCTTCTTCAGTTTTCCAGAAAGCTTAGTAAGCAAGCAAACAGTTCAAAACTAAATATGCCTTTTGTTTTCACAGAACACGTGGGTGATCTCTGTCTGAAGGCATTCTTGTATCATAACTACTTGTTTTCAACTCTCCCAAAACAATATCACCAGATATCTTCCTTCCTCTCCAGACAGTTCTCTCAATAGGCTGCTCTGCTTACCTTTTAGGACATCAGTGCCAGGTCTCTGACTAGAAGGAGAAAGAAGTAAAACTCAGGTCTCTCTCGCCACAACCAGGGGTTTGTTTTGGTTGGAGAACCCTACCCACATCCACATGTACTGGAAGTGGTTCATAGCTTTGCAGGAAAAACAAAACTATCCTGGCTTCAGGTGCCTCTCAGCTCAGGTCACTACCTACTGTACACAGCTCTTGCATCCCTTGCTCGCTGCCCATGAGTTCTAATGAGGCCCCACAGCCTGTGGGTGACCGATACCATTCTGCTGGAGAGGAAGGAAGCTGAGCTGCAGTCAGGCTTTGTGTCCCTCAGCCTTGGAGTGGTGTGGCAGTAGGCAAAGGGGTCATCCTGCACCAGAGAGAACAGTGGGAGAGTGAGGGTTCAGAGCACGGACAGAAGCCCCTTGGCATTCTGCATACAAAGCCATGCAGCTCCCTTTCTGTGCTTCTGCAAAGATGCTTTCCCTGCTTACAGGTTTAATAGGAGCTCCTAAGAGGGAAACCTGGCTGCAGTTAAGAGCAGAACTGGAAGCGCTGACTGATCTCTGGCTCACACATGCTCTGAAGGCGCTGAATTTGATACATTCCCGGTAAGAACAACTTAAAGAATTGCCTACAGGCTTGATCCAGGATCTTCTTTGGTTCCCTTTATTCCCCCCTCTGAACAAATCAAGACACATTTATAGTGACTTTGCTGGCCAAATCTGTGGAAGCCTTGTCTACATACGTTTGGCAAACCTGAATAACAAAGGGTTGGGATGAGCTTGAGATGATGGCCTGAGCAAAAGAAGTAGTTCTTTTATTGCCTTTCCTCGGCTGCCTCATCTGTGGCACACTTTTCATACGAGCAGATTTACAGAAGAGTAGGAAAGGGAGAAAAGGGTCTTTCTATCCCTAAACATGTTCCCTCAAAGCACAGACACTACTACATGCACTACTACATAGTGTATACATTCCCACAAAACAGCTTCTGGCATGCATGCAGTAAGGCTGCATGACTGCTACTAGTTTGTTTTATGTTTTTTCGTTCTACTAAGCTGCTCAGTGACATTACCAGTACTCACATTGTCTTCCTCTAGCTGCATAATCTCCCAGGGGCTTGGGAACTTCCAGTGGCAAGACAGGTTTTCTTCCTACCATCTTTCAGACCAGAGTAAAAGAGAGAAACACAGACTACACCTTCTACTAACTTTTGTTTTTCAGGCCTAACTGTGTGAATGTGTTGGTCACAACAACTCAGCTTATACCAGCTCTTGCTAAAGTGCTTCTCTATGGACTGGGTACTGTCTTCCCCATTGAAAACATTTACAGTGCAACAAAAACAGGTAAGAGCAAACTAATGTAGGCCTCACCAAAAATACACTGAGGTTTTGTCCCTAAGTCAAGTCAGGCACCTCCATCCAACCCTCTTGCAACAAACAATGTACGGGGGTTTTTTCTAGCTCCATGTTTATACATGGAGCTAAATATATAATTTACATCCTGACTGCCCACAGTTCAGCCAGTACAGACTTGGGGGGAAAGAAGAAAAAGGAAAAAAAAAGGGAAAAAAAAATCAGTCTTTCAAAGAGTTTCCATGGGGGAATGAGCCTGAAAAATACTCACCACTCTATGGAATCTATACTGGGTGTGGGATGTTCAACTGCACCCAGCTAGGAGGAAGGAAGTCTACTTGGACCTGTTACATACAGGAACACCGTTTGGATCCTCTTACTTGGGGTCGAGTGTGCTGGGTGAGCTTGAAGCTGCGTGAGTAAGAAATACTGGTAGAGTTGGCTTGGGGCTTTTGTTGCATTCTGTTCTTTCTGGTGTGTTAGAACGTCTGAGGTTTGCATTTTCATATTTTGACTGCAACCAGAATGAACAGAAGAGGGCTCTTGAGTGTCACATCAGTCAACCAACTGTGGGTCTAAGCAGTGCATCAAAATCACACAGCTTACAGAAAACTGGCAGCACCTGAAACTCTTTGGCTGATAAAGAAAACGCTAGTAACTGTCTTGAGATATAGACAGTCCATCTCAGATGGAGATTCAGTTAGGTTCTAATTCCAAAAGAAAGCAAGGAAAATAGCAGCAAGTTTAGTTAGGTCCCAGCTGCAGTTCCAGCACCTGAATGTATGAATACAGCCCTGCTGTATGTGTTTAGATAAAAAAATGTCTTCTCTTCTGTTGCTTAGGGAAAGAGAGCTGTTTTGAAAGAATAATGCAAAGGTTTGGAAGGAAAGCCGTGTACATTGTAATAGGAGATGGTGTTGAAGAGGAGCAGGGAGCAAAAAAGGTACCGTTTCTGGATGTCATGCTGGATTCTTCCAAGTTTTCATTTCAATGACCCTTTCTTTACTGAAGCATTTAATGAAGCTCCCTCCATTTGAAACAGTTTGCAATTGGTCTCATTTTTTAATATGCAAAATATTCAAAACCTCAGGAGAAGTTTCATACAGTAAATCCTCCCCACCTTGGCACCTGATGCTGTTTCTCACGTAGTTGCTGTGTCAGATATTCCTGGAATCATTCTTACTTAATAAAGATGGCTTTAAACATATGAAAAGGAAAACTTCAGTGTGTGATATCAGATCTGCAGGCAAGTGAATTTCTGATCTACATATGGTGCTTTTGTAAGTTCTGAATTATTGTAATTAGTTTTCAATTACTAATTCTACTATGCATCTATACATACATGTATTTATATTTATTATCATGGAGATCATAAGATGTAACATCTTTAGAGTGAACAACAAAAGGACTAGTACTGCATTGCTGCCTTTATGAGGGATCTGTGGATCAATGTGATTAATTTCACAGGCACAGTGAGATTGGGAAGATGTACTAAATACAAAGTAGAACAGAAACTATAAAAGCAGCATGGTCAGCAGTAACAAGCCCTCAGTATTATTTCATGCTCAGTGCAGAGATGTGGCCTGCTTGCATTCATAGCCTTAGAAAGAATTAAATGGACTAACCTGTGCTTCCAGTTGAGTCTTTGAGTCATTAGTATCCAGTCATTGGGAAATGAGAACTGGAGTTTTAGATACCAGTTGAAGCTTCTTTGCTTTGGGTAGACTGTAAGATGAGAAAAGCTGGAACCCTAGAGCCTGGAAGAGATAAAAGCAAAATCTGAGAACACCAAAGCTTGCAGCCTGCTTACAGTGACTGGGGGGTCACAGCCAGAGATAGAGCAAGGAGTACCTTCTGCCATGCATGTGGAATATCAGTGTAGGAGTCTTGGAAACATGGAGAGCAACAATCAAAGGCCTGAAGGAAAGCAGTCGGGTACATCAGCTGGGTTGTACAACATTAGAACTGGACAGCCAAAGTTTTTATTTCCAGCAGAAACCTGCCTGAAATCTCTATTTATTTGGCTTTACAGGGACAGGAATACAGTTTGTTAATGGCAAGCATTATTTGCAAGATGTCTTCGTGCATCCTAGGTCTTGCGCTCCTGATGTGCCTGCAGAAATGGGATTGAGCTGCTTCAGGAGCATTGCACATGGGTTGAGATGCAAGAACTGACTGCATGAGTCCTACCTGCAGCAAACTAGTTATTTTTTAATAGGCACAATGCAAGCAACAATACCTGTATCCACCTTGTAAAGCTAGCAAAACCTGCAGCTGGTTCTCTAGTTCATGAAGGGTTAAGGACTTGTCAGAGAAGAGTCCAAAATGCATGAATGAAGTGATAATAGCCTGCTGCTTTTGACAGCCCAGTGCCATACTTCAAAGGCAGTGGGTCAGTGAACATGACTGCATCAAAGGCTTCGAGGGCACTCTGGCTCTATGAAGAAGTGGCAAGGTTCAACAATCCTCTATGCCAGGATTTCAAGAGCCCTCTTGCTTGTGTCTCCTGGCCTAAGCAGCTCTCCCATTAGCAGAGCACATTCTTTGCTGGGCTGTCACCTCCTTTGATTGATGACAATCATTAGTCAAGGCTTCTACACACCTGAGCTTTACACACACACAAAAAGGGGGGGCAGGCAGAGCCTTTCACTGTTTTGCCGACAGCACTGATAATATCTCCATTTTAGTGGGTTGTTTTTCTTCACCTGTCTGATGAGTGATAAATCTGTAAATGCTGAACAACAGGAGGGGCTGAGAGGCCAAGTCTTCTGCTTGGTTAAGAAAGAAAAATAGATAATGTAATGGAAGGGGTTTAATAAGAACCAGAGCAGGCAGAGGGAGAAGGAAATAACTTTTCCCCATAAAGTGAAATTGCAAAGCAGTGGAGTCCAATCGCTTCAGATGTGTTTGCTTGCTGTCTACACACTGATCAATAGCTTGAAGGAAACATTTGTTTACTGATAGGCAGCATAGCAAAGGGAAGCTTGAGTTGTATTTAAACATTAGAGGAGTGTAAATAGACACTCTAAAATAAACACCTGGAAGCACTGGAGGTTTTCACACAGGCAAAAGGGGCACACACACGGGAAAGGCACAGCTCCCGTCAGCAGAATCACTTGCTAGGAAGTATATATTCTCTAACTCTTTGTCCAAAGTATTTATCCAGAAGCAGCACATTTACAGTGGATTTTACAGCGATGAAATACTCAGAAGTTTTATTGCCACGCAGGAAGGGCAGTAAGCTCTGGCAGTTAAAGCTTTCTATACATCTGTTACTGCACACACATCACGGACTGTGCAGGGATGGGTATTTTGGGAGGAAGCTGAGAAAATCCCAATCTCAAATGTTAGAAAATCTCAGTACAGAAATGAGCTGTGTCTTTGATCTAAAGTAAAACTGCTTTAAGTATTTTGGAGAAGAAACAAATCCAGCTCAAACTCCAGGCTCACCAGAACATTCCAAGAGAAGTCCTATTTAACATCTAAAAGCAAGTTCTACTTATTTTCAAGTTATCTCTTTGCAAGCTACTACAGGGGTATTGCTAATGACTGCAGAATTCTGTTGTTATCATGCTTTCAGAGAGCTGTTCATACCTTGCCAGATTACACTTCCCACCTCAGGTCCCTGCCTATCACACCTTTCTCTGAGGCAGCAATGAATAACTGATCTGAGCAATGATGCCAGTTCCTATATTTACAAGACAGGGGATATGACCTGCTCTTCCACTTAACTTGCACAGGGAATTCTTAGGAAGCATTTTGGCTGTGTGGGACTTTATTCTTTTGTTTACATTTTTCTGAATTTAATAACTTCCTTTTACGATATCTATCATTGAGTCTGTGAAACGCTGACAACAGCTTTCTCTGGTGATGTTCACCAACACTTCCAGAACTACTGCAGTTCTAGAAACATTCCTAATTAATCCATGGAAAAAAAGGAGAGTAAAGTTTAGTAGCTAGTACCATCACAAAGTCCCTGCATCCTCCAGCATCTCTGAAGCAGGGCGCTCCTAAGTTGTGGAGGATCTGTCTTCTTTTCTGCATAGAAAGTATGTCAGCAAATAGAGACTTCCCCCTGCCTGCCTTCCTGGCCTTCCTGACAAGCCACTGGCCCAAGTACTAAGCTTGTTCCCGAGTGTGCAAACTAAGAAAGTTGTTTTGATCTCAGTATTAAACCAAAAACCCAAAAATGCCCTCTTTTGGTTTCACTCTAGCACAACATGCCATTCTGGAGAATCTCTTGTCACGCGGACCTGGAAGCTCTCCGGCACGCCTTGGAACTTGAATATTTGTAGCAGACCCCAACATCTTAGAACTGTGAGGGCTTCACTCAAACTATGGCATCGGTTCCACCTATTCCTCAAAACTTCCCTCGTACAAAAATCCCACGGCACCTGCAGTTTTTCTGGTTTTGGAAGGAGAACCCTTTCAGTGGAAGCCTTTAAGAACCTGCAGCCAAAGAACATTGGACAGAGGAAAAGCCTTCAGATAACTCACTGGGGGAAACCTGCTGTTGAATGGTTAAGCTGGATGCATAGAGCTGTGACTGCCTTTTTACCATCAGCACCAAACGCTATGAGACTTGGGTCTATCTGTCAGTTTTCTTGCTTTTGAAGGGGGAAGAGGACACAAGAAAGGAGTCTCTGCACAGGACATCCATCAGTGGGACCTTCTGAGAAGAGTGAAATGGTTGATTTCTCCTTTTTTTTTTGTATTTTTTTAATTTATGAACTAATCTCATTACTCTGGTATTCAGCTCTGTACCTGTGGTTTTCATTTGGCTTTTTGGGGTGGGTGGGTGGGGAAGGTCTTACCATTCTAAATTAATAGTTCATTTCTCCAGAGCAAACTCTGGGGAGAATCATACTGTGTACATTAATAATAAGGACACATGGTCCTGGGTAAGAACTATAGCTGTGTTTTTCAATCTTACATAGATGGTATGTGGACTGTGCATGTGTCTACACGGTGCCTTATGCTGCCATCTCGGTCTGGGGAGCTGGGTTAGGGGAAAGAAAGTACCTTGTGATGAGTGAAAGGCATTAAATAAAAACATGTTTACATTCAGGGGGACTAGCTTACCTGCCTTCCCTTCTCTCCAGCTACTCCTGGGCCTAGAGGTGTATGGAGGATACATCCTTCCTGTTGTGAGGGTAGGCTCTGAACAAAGCCCCTCTGGGGCAAACTAGAGTCTGTGGCCAGCAACTCTCATCCGTTGGTGGGGCAAAGACTGAAGAGAGCTGGTGACTGTGCCTGCAGGAGAGAATGTGGCCACTTGGTGAATCTGGCTTGTCCTGCAAAGGAAGGTAAAGAGCAAACAAATATTGCAGCTGTGCATATTTATTTTTATGTAAATAAATGCATCCACAAGTAAGCTTCAGCTTTAGGATTTCTGCTGAGCAGACCAGTTCCTTCTGCTGTCAGAACATTGCGATTCTGTGGGCCTGGATGAATCTCATTTGCTTTTAAAACTTGCTTGATGGGGAAGGATCTGAGCCCCACTGGAGCAAGGTGTTGGAGAGAGATGCAGTACAGAAGTAGTACAATCCTTTCTCATGTGTGAATCAAGATCAAACAAGGGGGGGTTGGTTACACAAGTCACAAGTGTGACACAAATGTTACACAGCCCAGGTGATGCTCCAAATGTCCAACGAACATTCACCTCAAGAAACAGATTCATTGCTAGAGCTTGAGAGGGGATTTTCTGCCAAAATAATCTAATCTCAGTCTTTGGCTCAAAAGGTAGCAGCCATAAAACTTGTCAGCTACGCTTGTTAGGAGCAGGCATAGCCAAAACCATCCTTTCATACCTGCTCTGGAGGCACTGGCAAGAGCTGCTTGCCAGGCCAAGTACACCACCAACCAAGGTGGGATGTTTCTAGCAGAGGTGCTGCTTGCTGGGAAGCACATGGAGCAGGATTTTTGCCTCAGGATTTTCCAGCTGTAGGACTGTCACAAATAGGAAATTTTAACACAAGTCCAGGAGACCAAACTCAATGCAGAACTGACTGATGCTCGCAAGATAAGCACTCTGCTAAATAAAACCTTTGAAAGAAGAACAAATGCCAGGGATGGAGACTCCTAAGAGGAAGCACAACTTCAGCGTTTAGCGCCCTGTCAGTGACCTCATTGCTGCTCCTTGAAATTCCGATTTCGACACCTGCCTTGAGTCAGTTATCCGAGTACTGATTTATTTTTCCCTGAAGCTTCCTGCATCTTTTCCTGAACATGTTGAATGGTTTTCCGTAACCGGCAGTTTTAAAAAGCTGATTTCTTTTACTCTGCAACGCTGTGTTCACGCTGGTTACCAGGTTCCCGTTCTGCCCGTGCTTGGGCCTGGTGTAAAGCTCTGGCAGGTCTCACAGCTCAGCGGGTGTGAGCAGCAGCTCCTACACCTACCTCCTGTGAGCCACCCTGCGCCCGCACATCCACTCCTGTGGCCAAAGCCTGACGCTGAGTCACACCGTGCCCCTGCTCATCCCTGCATCCTCCTCAGGTGAAGGGCTGAAACAAAACACCCCACCCCACCTTAACCTTGTCCTTGGAGTCTCTGCACCCATCTGCTGTCAACTGCCTGGGAAGTCATGGAGTGCAACACAAAGTAAATGTGGCTCTTGCCAACCACAGAAGCCCATTGAGATGACACGCTCCGAAAGGGACACACTTCTTGGGTCTGGTCTTCACATTTCTGTTTGCTTTGTTAAACCAGAATCTGTATCTGAGCTGTTTCTGGAAACAGCTTGTACAAAAATCCCTCTTTGCCCTTGCCCAGCTTTGAACAGTTCAGATGCAACAACAGAACACAGCTGGGGAACTGCAGAGGAACAGTTGCAAAAATACACCCATCACTGGGGATGGAAGAACATGTCACAGGCTCACTGGTTGCCCATTTCCTGTAGGGAGTTTTTCCTCTGGTTCCCCTGCCTGACCTCCCAAAGGCTGCAGGGCTACTGTAAGCTGCACAAAGCAGGAATGCAGCTGTCCCATTCCTGCCCCAGGCAGCTGTGGTTCATGAGGTGCACTTCAAAACCCTGCAGTCACAGCCCAGATTCTCCACATTTGGCCATTATCCTATGGGCTGCACCACTGACAGCCAAGGTGAGCACAGCAGAGCTAACACTGGGCAAGTAGCGAAGTGGTGGTTTGTATAAAATGCATTTTTTAAAAGGGAAGAAAGCAAAAAATCTCCTTGTTTCTAAAGCGCTTTGGTGCAGCTCTACAACCATTTTATGAACCAGACTCCAGATTCCCGGAGAAAGGGTAAGTGTTCGGAGGGACTTTAGTCCTGTATATCCATCTCTGTAATGGATCAAGTGCTACATTCAGGGTACAGCTGACCACAGGCAGCAGAACCCACGGCACCCCTCTGCCCTGACAGACCTGCGCCGAGGAGGAACTTGGGAGTGTCTCCGGATGGGTTGCATTCCTCTTGGCTGCTCCGTGCTCCTCTACAACTTCACCACTTCCATTGCTGTGATTCAGTCACCGAGCAGCTGATTCAGTGTGCACCAGCACAAGAGGTGGCAGCAGAGCTCACCCTGCATGCAGAGACCAGCCACAGTGCTCCCACCTGAGCGCAGCAGCCCCTCCGCAGCCCGGCAAACTCCTCCACCAGTGCCAGGCTCCTGTGGTGAGCTCCATCCAGAGCAAACCGTTCAAAGCTAACGCTAAACCGCAGAGCACCCCAGTGCTGCAGGAGCTCCTGCCTGCCCAAGGTACACTAAAGCTGGGGAAATGCTGCCACCGTTTGGCAAAACTTCGGAGTTGACTGGCCCGGATGAGGATCACCAGCACCCATCTGCCCTCCTTCCTGAAGGCTCAAATGACAATGGAAGATAATAATACAGAGATTTCTACGCTCAAACTCCAAGTTAATTTTGTCTCCAAAACCAGAGCAGTCAGCAGTGATAACCCGCATGCCTTTCAGGTGGTTATAATAGAGGATGCAAACCCAAAGGACATCCTGTACCTGTAGCTGAAGCGGGGAGACAAGTGTCCCCAGGATGGGATGTGGCCAAAAGGGCTTTTAATTGTGTACAATGTGCTACCCCTGCCCCAATCAACTCCATACTCCATCACTGGCATCCCTCCATGCAGCCAGACAACAGAAGGACGGCCACGAACTCAGCCCAGGACTGAGCCTGGTATCCCAACTGAGGAACCTGCACCATCAGAGGTAAAAATTCCAGACCCAGCACAGGATGTTTTCCCAAACTTTGTTCCACAATAAACAAGGGACACACTCCACAGGGAAGAGGGAGACTCTAGACACAAATGATGGATGCAGCTTATGCCTACTCAAAGTGTTCAATCATATATTAAATAAAGTTGCAGCCAGCCTTTTAAATTCACATCACTGTCATCTCCTCCCATGATGTCCAAGCCAGAGATGCATTCTTCCTTCACTTAACACAAAAGCAATCCTCAAAGCGACAGTTAACTTTGTACCATAACTGGCCAAAATACACAAAAACTGCAGTCACCAGAACACAGAATCATAGGTTAGGGTTGGAAAGGACTGTAAGATCATCCATTTCCAACCCCCCTGCCATGGGCAGGGACACCTCACACTAAACCATGCTACCCAAGGTTCAAGATGGTACCTTGGATGTTGACCCAGTAACTCTTGTTGGGAATTATAAGTATGTATTTACATAAATCTTTACTAGGATTTGCTCACCTGCTATTTTACACAAGGAAAGAAAACAACTCTTTACAGAAAAAACAATGCGCATAAAACCAACCAACCAACTGGTTGGAACAGGCTCCCAGAAGCCATGTGGTTTCCTATAACAGTTTCTGACTTGGCCATTTCTTTCCTTTTTCCTCCTGACAGAAGACCTTGTTTCAGTGATACCAGGATTCACTTTACATAGGGAAGGCCAAGACATCATTCCAAGCTTTCAAGATTTGGGCTTTTCTTTGTTGGAACATTAGTTGGTTTACAAGAGCATGTAACAAGGTAACTACAGGAGCAGAAACTTAGGACAACATTCACAGTAGGATTCTGAAGTCAGCAATTTTCTTACGTCCCTGTTCCTTCCAGCAGACAATTCAGACACACACAACAGCTTCACCCAGCTCATGCCCTCTTAGAGGGCTACAACCATACCCACCACCAAAGTCCCCATTTCTAATCCACAAATACACCTGACAAGACAATGTGTGTCAGTGCAACCCCAACCAGAGAGTGAACAGATGTGACACAGCGAGCACCAGCCCTCTGCAGCTGTTAAAACTGACAGAACATGGATGTCACTGAGGTCTGTACATCAGTGGCTTCTATTTACTCACTGGCCAATGCAGCTTAGGCTCAAAGGTGCCAACACAAGTGAAGCTATGGAGGCTCTGCAGGCTGCAGAACGGAACGTTCACTCGGACTGGAACGGAGCTGGAACACAAACCAGTTTTCTAAAACAGTTTAATAAAGGAATGGTGATGTTTCTTGGGAAGCGGGAGGCACCCAGCGGGCATTGTGTGTGCGCCACCTGCCCGAGTCACAAAGAAACACAACTGTCAAAAAAGATATTTAAGTTTAATACAAATTTTATACAAAGAAAATGTGAAAAAATACTTCCATATGCTAAAAGCAATTATGCTTCACAAATAAGGCCAGCTAGGCTATTTCTGACACAACTGCAAGTCACCAACAGTCTGTTCTCGCTTGTTTTCGTCTAATATTTTTCCCCTCTAAAGTGGGTTCTAGCTGGAGACTGTACAAACCGCATTCTTTTATAAACAATGGGAGAAATCAACATGACTGAAATGTACAACAGAATGTACTGGAATGATATCATACAATTAATTTTCTCATATACATACATCACCTTTGCTTTGTTCAATGCTTTCGTTTTACACAACATACAAAATGGTACTACAGTATAAGTGTAACAGACGGCATTTTCATGGGTTACTTTCTCTCATACTGTACTGCTTCATGCTTACATAAAAACATAAATCCCATCATATAAATAATACATGCTCTGGCCCAGCACCAAAAGTCCTTTGCCTGCCTTTCCCCATCCATGTTTTTCTCCGCACCTGGTTCTTGTCCAAAGTCCTTTGGGAGGATTTGTACGAAAAGAAAACTGAACTGTGAAGCACAGGAACAAACTTTTCAATCCTTGCTATCGATGATCAGACACTGTGTTACACCCAGCTGGCATCATCACACCTTCCAACGTTTCTGATACTAGACTGAATGAGATTTCAACTTAATCTGTAAACAATACAAATTTGAATGGACTGCTCATTGTAAAAAACCATGTAAATCTTTATGTATTTCAGGTACACAGATTAGAAATGTTGCAATTTGCCCAATACAAGTAACTGAAAAAAGACTCTTTTCATCACTTGGTTGCTCAAAGAAATTCTACAAGAGTTTCAAAGTGCAGAAATTGTTTTCAATCCAAATGCAAATCAGATTGTTCAGATCTCATGATCATATTATTTGATGCGTAATGGCAGTTTCCCAAGACCAGTTTTCAGCGTCAGCTTGTAATAAGGCTGTTTTAAGCCTTCCTTTTCCAACTCCAAACGCTCTTTATAAGTTAAAGTCAATACAAATATAAAAAGGAGATGGTACTCTAATGACATCCACAAATTGTACATTATTTACAAAAGAAGCATAGATTTAATAGGGATCTTACCTGTCCTCACCTTTTCTAAGCCAGCGCTAATGCTTTACATTAATGTAGTGTAGTTACTGCTTTGTACACATATACAAAGCTAAAGTCTGAACCTTTGAGGTTAATCCAAAGAACTGTGTTTATTTTTCACATTTCTATTAGATCTATTTATTCCAACAATTGTATGGACTCCTTGTTAGCAGTTAGACTCTTCGTACTTGGACTGGCATTGTGGTCTGAACACACTGAACTCCAGTTCGCATTGCCACTGTCCCAGCAGAAGGACTTACCGCTACAGGAATGGTCTGTGGATTAAAACCAAGAGAAACACACTGTTATGTTACAGGTCACAAACATGACCACAGAGAGATTTGTTTTCCAGGGGAAATCCAGAGCAAGCTCCAACTGTGTGCATGAATTAATACCTTTATTACTGCAGCATTACCTCATTCCAGGGTAGGAAGTAGTGTGTTACTTTCCTGTAGCCAGGAGTTTTTCTGTATTAGGATTACTACTACATAACTACAGGGACAGGTGGTCCTACGGGTACTGTACACACTCTGTCTGTGATTGGAGAGGTCGGTTTTCATAGTTACATCCAGTTCTGTGTTTTCCCAAAACTAATGCATGGGAAGAGGAAAAAGGGCTAAGAAAATCCTTTGTCATTTGAAAAAGTTCTGACAAATCAAACTGGAGTACAAAAATACCCTCGTTTAAAGTATATTCTTGTTACACATTACTTAAAGATCTGTCCCCAAAAGGAACTCCCCCATGCATTCAGTCTACACAGAAGTGAACAAAGAACATCCACCTGAACAAAAAAGTACTTAACTTTTGCACAAATCAATAGCAAAAACATCAGCATCACTGGGAACTGTCTTACACACCCTGTAAAAATATTAATATAAACTTTTCACTGCCATCATACAGCTCATGATTTATACATCTTGACAAATGACATTTCAGGACATCTCTATAGGTGGCAACTGGTTCTACAGATGCAGAGACAAAGGCATGAGGATGTTAAACAATCTGGTCAAGGTCACGTCACTCTGGAAGATCTGGGAAAGGATTTATTGGATCTCAAGTCTGTGTCTTAACCTTCCTCCAAAAACGTGAGGAAGTCTAGAAATGTCTGTACCATACAAACTGCAAGTATGTTTCGACACAATTCCAGTGCTGCACAACTGCATCCGTTTCAGTTCACAATATGTTGCAGAGGAGACAGGAAGTGAGATCCTGAGGAATCTGAAAGGGATGCATGGATCTTCCCCCTGATGGTAGTGTGACATTCCAAAGAGAGCACGGAAGAAGAAATACAAGGTCACTGAAGCCCAGTGTTTGCCCACACTGTTTTAAGAAACCACGTTAGTGTCTTGATGGTATTCAGCAGGGACTCTGAGTATCCCTACTGAGATGGGTTGCAGCCTAGAGTGCGTATCAGCTCCTTTGTGACAGTCTGTGCCTTCCAGAAGCCTACTCATCCCATTCCCTGGAATGCAAAGATGATGAATTTGTATTTTTACATTATTTTAACTGCAGAAATAATAACACACAAACATGGAACCAATCTGCTAAATAAATTAAAGATTACTGCCATTTTGCAATGATTTCAGGTGTGTACAGAGGGTTCAATGGAAATGGTACCCAGAAGATACACGGGAAGTTGTTCAGAGGAGGAAGTTCCTAGCTGGACACAAAGTGCAAATTGAACCCTAAAGAAACCACTGTGTAAGCTACTGTTAGTACCACAGGTGGGGAAATTCAGGTTGCCATAGTCACCTTTTAAATACACAACTACACAATGAAAATGTTTCCATTCTTACAGCGATCGGGACATGGAATGTGCGAGACTCCTTAAGTGTGTTAAGATCACTCCCTGAGAGGTAAATTTTCCACCTCTGCCAGTTTTACACATATGTACATTTTGCATACATATTAAACATGCACTAAGGTTTAAAATTACTTAAATTGCACGTGCAGTCATTAGAATACAGAGGTGTCTGTAGCTGTGCAAGACTAATGCAAATGTGTACAGAGATTTAAACATGCACAAATAAAGGCTGAAACCTTTCAGACACTCCAATTATGCTGTACAGAACTCAATACACTTGGGTATTACAGAAAACCAATGAAGGGAACTGCCATTTTTCTGGGTATTACACAAAACCACCTTATGATCTTACAACCTCTCAGCTACTCACAAAAAAAAAAGCCTAATGTCTTTGATGTTTGCTGTTTGAGTTTAAAACACACATAAACCCTTGTTGTTATAGTAATTCAGTCCAAGCAACTTCAGGCCAATGCTGCAAAGGTGCACAGTGCTCTCAGTTGAGACAAAAGGAGTTAAAATGCTCCTAGGAATGTGAAAAGTCATGATCCCCACGAAGAGCAGTAACATTTGTGTGGACTCTAATGGCTATGAAATATTGTGTGTATTCATACATACACACAGAGTCATGTATCCTGCAGCTGGGGGAGCTGTGGGGTGCGCACAAGGAGAGAGACAGAGTAACTTCCATTGCAAACCAGGCCTCATGGTCACAGTGTGATTAAGGTACACTGTTCCAGTGGTTCATAGTTGCTTTATAAATCATCTCACTTTAGTCAGAAAGGGAACTGAAGTTACATGTGGGCTTCTCTGCTGATGCCAGCCCTGAGGCAGAGCGTACTGTTCAGCTACTGGGGCAGTATCAGTATGTGCCTCTTAGTAAGAAGGGTATCAGCTCAGTTGCCACGCTGACTCCAAGGTGAGCTCTGCAGAACATGACCAGTTGAAATTATGGGATATTCTGATGCATAAAATACAAAAATGGAAATCACTTGTGTCCCATCTCCTGGGAGTTCATGTCTCCTTGGTTACGTCTTTGATGGAAAAAACAGTCTGATTCCAAGGCTATTTCTCATAATTTCGTAACACTAATGTGCAAGGCTGCATGGGAGATACGCTACTGATGAATGCATGTTTCCTTTCAGAGTTACTGAGATGTCACAGGAATATCAAGCATAGCTCAGAAATAATTAAATCTCTTTAGGATACAACAGACAAAAAGATATTTAAAAGATATTTAAAATGTATTCTATATATTTACATTGATGTTGTGGTCAAGTATATACATGAAACGGAGAGATAACCAACATAATAATGTTGTAAAGCGGAAGTCTGACTGCCCTCAATGCCTTCACTATACTTTATGACAATTTCTGAATCCCTGTAATAATGAATGATGAAATGAAAGGGTGGAATGTTGCACAGCAAAATAAGACATTTTGCACTGCAAGTTGAGACTATACCAGTGAATTCATCTCTTGACAGAACAGCAGACGGAGACAACCCCCCAGAAATACTGAGCAATTTTAATGCCAGGAACACTACTACTGCAGACTTGAAATGATGATATTGTACTTACAATTGTGGGTTGAGTAGTTGGAATATAGGTGGTGGTCTGCGGTACCTGGACCAGTTTTATAGGCTGGTTGCTTGTCACACCTGTTGCTATCTGCAGAGACAGCACAGGCAACCTCAGTAGAAGTCTCAGCTTTTACACAAATTCCACCTAGTTGTTATTATTATTAGAATATGAAATTTATGTGGGATGTTTTTGTTTGTGTTAAAAATTTGCATCTTAATGAATTCACAGGTTACTGCTTTGTTAATAAAACAAAATTCAAATTATGAACATGATCAATGCATACAGCATGATGTTTCAGGTAGAACATCTACATGAAAGCAATTCCAGATACGTGTAACTGGAATATTCCCTGGTAAGTGTTTTAGGTAATTGATTTTTCTCCCATCCCCTATTTCCCCAGTAATACAAAGGTTGTGCTGCCACAAACAACGTGTACAAACACTGACTGAGCCAGAGCTTAACTTAACCAAAGCATCCAGGTGGAACAGCACATCCTTTTTCCCTCTACAAATCTGTTTCCCAGGTTACTCCCTTAAGATGACACGTCAAGCCCAGAGATCTAACACCAGACAGTAGCAAAAGTGTCAAGAAATGAACACAGCTCTCTAGTTTACTATGCTTCCCCATTCTATAGGACTATCTCAATGAGACATCATGCTGGAATCACAATACTACAAAATTAGTTTGCTTTTAATATTTTAAAATACAACAAGGCTCCTACTGATGTGGGGGATCATGTGTAAGGGTTTGAAGGATCACACCCCCCCCTAAAATTTTTCACGTAATAAACCTTGCAAGGGCAGAAGAAAAACGATGCTGAAATTGCTAATAGTCAAGCCCTACGTATAAAGCAGAATCTTCTCTATAAACATTTTCTATATATGCAATGTTAAGTCCCTTTTATTAGAGCATTTGCTCATCCTTGCCTACTGAATACTATCAGAGTAGATGCTACAGAGGATTTCGTAATTGCTCCGTTAACTGTAGATCCAGGTGAATTGTTGTATCAGTGTTATGGAACATTGTGGTACCCTAGTGGCAGTCTGTTGTGATAAAGTAAGTTGATTTGAATGCAGGTCTTGAGCTTGGCCTCTGAACCCCCAGGCAAGAAGGGCTTGGAAGTGCTGCAGTCAGTATTGCTTATCAGAAGGCAACTTGTATCGAAAGATCCAGACCAGAAGCTACACTGATGGGTCCTGGAGAGAGAGAGAGAAAGAGGTCCAGTCCCCTTTGGCTGGAAGGATGAGTCAAGCCAACACAAGGTTTTATCAGGAATGAGTGAAGGGGAAAGAGGACAGAAGGAGATTTCTTTTGTCAAGATGAAGAAAAAAACCCACAAATTCCTATCTCACTCCCCAAATCACAGTCTTTGAAATATGCAAAATGATCATTAATTCCTGGCTGATCCAGGGAAGCCTTTAGGGGCAGGTTTCAGAGAAATCTTACATACTGCTTTTGAAGGAAGTGACCGCAACGATACTTACTGTAACACTCTCTTTGCTTTTATCAGCTGAACCTTCTTTTTCCTTAGGGGTGCTAGCTGTTTCTGTAGGCGTAGGCTGCGCACTTGAACTGGGCTGGGATGATTTATTTAATGTTTCTGTGCTAATTTCAGTATCTGTTTCTTGCTGTGTTGCAGTAGCTAAAAATAAAGGAAAAAAAGAGGAAGTAGCCACAGTTCCCGTGTACCAGTCCATGGGCACGTTGCACCCATGCAAGTAAAGAATGTTAAGTCACGATGTGTTGCACCCACCCTAACCCTTCGCTGTGGAACAGGCAACCCAGAGCAAGATTACCTGACTGTGTGCAAGATTTCATGTGCTCAGGCCAGTGAGCTTGTTGGCAGGGATAGTCACAGTAGCTAGTATTCCAACAGCAATAAAAAATGGCCTCTTTCTTGCAGTTAGCACACCACTGCTTCTTTTTAGTTTCATCCACTGCTTGCTGCTTTTCCAGTTCCAGCTGCTTCTTCACTTCAGCGATCAAACGATCCCGTTCTTGTTCTAGACTCTGACGCATTTCAGCCATTGTCAGTTCTACTCAAAATGCAGAGAGGAAAGGGGAGTTTAGTATTTTCCACCCCGAAGAGCAAGGCACAAAACAATAATTTTCATGAGTTTAAAGACAAAAAAAATTAAATAAAATTATTCCCTGAGTTAGGGCATCTCTCTGTTTTTATAAAAACAGAGACTCAACAAATGTAAGTCTTCCATCTTCTTTTCTTACTCCAGTACCATGGTTTTTACCCTTAACTATTATCTTCCATTTGTTTAACACTTTAGTTCTAGATGACCCACAATGGATCAGAATCCAGGTGTACTAGGTGCAACATAAACACAAGAAGGATGTATGCAGCTGCTGCTAAAATACTTTGGTAAAGACATGGCAACTAAGGTAACTTTGTTTACATACTCAGAAGCTGTCCACTACCACCAGCACAGCACACTATGTGAGGTTTTCTGGCCTTCACTGGGACAATTTGCAGGTATCATATGATGAAGACAATACGTATTACAAGCATTTGGATTTTCTATTTAGGACAAAACCTGACACACTTATTTTGGGCTGCCATTTTCATACCTAGATTATGCTTCATTTCTGAGAGCTCCTGCTGATGTAGCCATTGAAGTTTTTCTATCTCAATCCTCAAACGCCGTATCTAAATATTAAAGTATTAATAGTTAGCAGTAACAAACAGGGTGCAGTGTAAAATAAGTAGTCATTATACAGAAAAAGATACCCCAAGATCCTGATCATCAGTTACATCAAGGCCCTTTCATATCACCACGAGGACAAAACCATTCATAGCAAACCCCAAACTAGAATCTAAAGCATTCAAAATATTTGTTTGCTAGATTTGCTTACCATACACAGTACAGAATTGTTGGAAAACAAAAAAGCACTTGTTTTGAACTTGCTCTTGCTTCCTCTAAAATTAGTTGAGTCTCAAATTTCTCTGACTGGAATCAAAAACCTATTCTTCCATTTTGTTTGCATTTATTAGTATAACATTTAATTTACTGTGTTTTCTTTTTAACTATATGAGGCTTAGGAAAGCAATTTTTTCATTCACGGTGGATTGGGAATACAAATATCATTGCTCAACACTGATTTTGATTATAGCAAGCAAACAAATCATCACACCTTTAACTCTGAACACACTTAAAAGATATTAAGTTATACCTTTGGAGAGAATTAAATGCAATGGATAACACTGCATTAAAAATGCAAAAAGTATTAAAAACTCTACTCATAATCACATCACTGGAATACGTTCCTGAACTAGCAGTAAATTCAAATCTTCCTCTGGTGGACAAATACATGGTTTAAAGAAACGATACTTGCAAAAACCTACTTCATTTCTGACTTTAAACAAGGCAACATAAAATCAAATCCTCAACAGAGGCTTTAAGCATCTGGGCCCAATGGTTTCCTGATTGTCTGACAGAGCCCATCATTACTTCTGAAACAGCATAGAAATCAGAATCTCTACACAGTCTCAATATCTAACACTTTGTAGGTACAGTTATATAATACTTGTATATAGAAAAATACTTTTTGTAACTTTTAAAGTTACAATACAAGCAATATTGTTTTTCAGTCTTACACTAACCTCAGCTATTGTACTTCCAGTAGTATTTTTTGACAGATCATTATATATTTCAGTCATTGTTCCTTTGATGGCATCCATCATCTGAAAGACAAAATGAAAAATAAATTCTTTGATATATCTATTAAAATAGATACCCACTTTCACTTCCTTTCTCCTACTCTAATGTGAACTTATATTACTGTCAACAATGCCCCGTATCTCTCTCTTTTTATCTGGGTCTACTTTTAGAGAAATATTTAGAAGGTGGAACACAACACTTTGATCAGGACTCTGATCCTTAAGTGTCCTCAACTGGTGAGCTGCTTCACCACCTTCTTTTGCAAGAAATTGTCATTGATACAATTTAGGAACAGAAAAAGACACAACCATGAGTTTGGGATACTCAAATTATAATGATAATAATAAAAGGCATTTGCTGACCACTGACAATCCCACCAACACCATATGGTTGAGTGAGAATACTGGTGCTTTTAATGCCTGCGTACTCAACTTTATTTTCTTACATAGCATCCATGTTGATTTTTTAAAGATCTAAAAGAGTATATGAAAAGCTAATGTCCCATCCCTCCCTGTCACTATTATGACACAAGTATTACACCACATCTTCTCTTTAACAACTTAGCTTCTGTGTTAATACATGAATACACACTTATGACAAGTTACCATCTGATGAAGTGTTTTAAAACAAGTGTTTTAAGTACATTTTTGTACATGTATTACTGGACACAGATAGAGAAATTAACATTTACTGTAAAGATGATGCTGAGGAGATATCTGTACCTGTCCAAAACACAATACAATGTAAATAAGCAGCAGCAGTGGCAGAATGTGAGGAGAGGGTCTGAAGTGTCCGAGCAGCTGAAGCCTATCTTATACATGCTCTGGCTTGGAAGGGCAGCATTCAGCCAAATCTAAAAACATGGTTCAACACTCCTGTGTTGAAATCTAGCTGTTCCTATCTAGTGGAATGAACTTGCAATATATGACAACCTGAGAATAACATTATTTCAGAATCTAAAATGTCAAAAATGTGAAAGTTCACTTCAAAATAAAATTTCAATGAAAACCTTGCTCAAGAACTTACTTTGCTAGTGTATTTAGCAATATCGGCAGCCACATCAGCTGAAGCTGTTGCAATTGGCAAGTCTGTATTAACTGAGGAAGAAAGTGTACTTGCAGATCCAGAACTGGTAACCATAGAAATAGGTTGAGTACTTGTAACCAGGGTTATAGTGGATGTGGAAGTGCTCTGGGTGATCTCTTTTTGCTGCACAGCTAAGAAAAGAGAACATACAGCAGATAAATAACATAAACCATTCTAAAAATCAATAGGCAAACTTCTAAATTTAATGCGTGCACCTAACCAGTTGAAAGACATTATCTATAGAATGGTGATATTTAATCAATCAATTTTACAGTGCCCAGCCACTGAATGTTTACATAATTTTAAGGTTTAATGGTAATGAAGGAAATACATCTTTGAAACTTATTATTTTAGACTGACCAATACAAAAGTATCCCACAGATCCGTACTCCTCCCATTCTGGGCCATTTCCATCCCACTTCCTAACCTCTCAATTTGGAGAACTCCCCACTAATATATGCATAAATTAGAACGTATGAGCGTAAGTTAGACATTGACATTTTCCTTTGGCATCCTTTAGAAGCATATTATTGAATTTCTTTTCTTTTTCCTTTGAAATGAGATTCAGTGAGCCCCGCTGAAGAAAGCCTACTTTAGTAATACAATACTTCCTGTCATTATTCCCATTCTTTTGTTATTAATGCTACTAATTATTATTAGTGTCGTGACATGTTTAGTATACACATATCCAGATCAACATTAGCCCTTGCTTGGCCAAAGAGTAAGGAACGCCAGCTTAGATTAACCCATTAAAGCAAAGAAGTTATTCATAGATTTAACTCGAACTGGATAAGAAAAATTTTCTCATCTTTGGTCAATATTTCAAATGAACAGTGGATAATTTAGTATTTTTAAAAAATACCTTTTCAGACAACATTTTTCAATCTGTTTTTAATGATTCATATTATAAAAAATGTCTTCATTGCCAATATCCTCAAACCAGGAATTACTGAAATGGATGTTATTTACATTTACACCTACGTACTATGCTTTTGTTTATGCCAATTCAGTATCTAAGAAATCTCTATAATTTCTATTTTCATTTGATATATTTCTAGAATACAATATTTAGGATGGAACATTGCTATGATGTGCTCAATAGTAAATATATTGCTAAAACAAACTCAGGCTGAACGTTTAAAGTTCAGCCCATAATATCAAGCGACGTATGAATCTGTTAAAAATCCAGCTTCACAGGTTTCACATTTATTTTTCTCACTGACTCTTTCTGTATTAAATTTGGGCAGTCTACCTGTACAAAGATAACACTTCTTCAACACTTCTTAAATGACAGTCACAAAAGTGGTTTGGGACCAGAGAAATGTATCCCTGGTAAAGGTTTGTATGTGACCCATTACCTACACCTTGTTCTGTCTGAAAGTACTAGCTTGCCAGCAGTGTTATCAGACTAGAGAACATCTATTCATCAAGCACACCAGAAAAATGTACTGTTTATCAACTTGGAATTACAAATGATTTACATACGTTGCTGTTTTGTGAAGCAATAGAAGCATGGGTTTATACTACCATGTGCCTACTAGTAGTGAAACCTCCAGCAACAGAATGGTAAGAAAGCAGTTGTGTAAACATTCTAACGTTACTGTTTGCTCAGTAAATAGCATCAAAGTATTGCTAAGAGTTAAGCAACAGGGATTTCAGAGACAAGTGTAGCCTGGGTAATTTCATTGTTGTCAAATTATACTCTGAAAAACTGAACAGCTCAGCTTCTTTATCTGTGTCAGATAAAAGTGGATCCAATTTGCAGATATGGAGGTGATAATGGTAATCATGAAAGTGGAATAGTTAATGGCTTCATCATATAATGCAGAAAATAAACCAGTTCACTCTCCCAAATTTGTGATGGCTAAGAATAGCAAAAATATTTATACAGATACACACACAAGCTTTTTGTCATTAAAATAAGGAGATACGACTCTAAATACACACCAGAAAGAGCAGGTATGGTGAGTAAGTTGTTGTATTTTAAAGTCACTTATCAGAGTAGAACCACACTTTGAGATTTTGTTTATAGAGAAGACTTCCTGGGTGGGCAGCCTTGGAGCACTGAGATCACTACTGGGGAATTATGGCATCACAGGCACATTGAGTTACAAAGTGTATACCTTTAACTGCTTGTCTTGTCTGATATCTTGTCCCTTGAGAGGACTGAGGTTGCTGTGACTGAGACTGCTGGCTCTGCTGCTGCTGCTGCCTCTGCACCTTCTGCATGTGCCATTTCTGAGAAGATGTCTGAAATTTATTTGAAGAATTCCACACCACACGCTGCACAGCAGGGGCTGTTTCCTTCGGCAGCAGAGGCCTCTGCTTCTTCACAGGGCTTCCAGTGGCTGCAGATGGAGCGCTAACAGTAGAAGAAGCACTAGTAGTGGCTGTCACACCAGCTGGTGGAGTCTGGGCTGTAGAGCGCGTAAGTACTGGAGTTTCTGGTAGAGACTGGGTGCTTGCACTGGAGGAAGGTGGTGTTTTACCTACAACTAAACAAACATAAAATGTAATGCCAGCCTTTCACCAACACATTGGACTCATCGTTTTCTATTTAATTTTTGAAGGAGCCAGATATGCAACCTTCTGACCTACTTTATATTATTTTCCTCAAAAGATAACTGATATTCTACAGGCAAACTCATTTTGGTGTAGCTGAAGTTGGTGGCAAGTCAGAAGCACCAGTCACTAAGCAAAACAAAGAAGTACAAAACACAGCCTGATCTCCTGAAGAAGGTATAGGAGTATAGGAGAGGTTAGTGTTTGTTAGGATGGTTCTGGGTTACCTGTTATCCCAGTTTCTTTCAGGAGAAAAACATTATTACTAATAGCATTGACATTGATTTCAATGGGACCTTATGCAATTTCTTTGTTTGATAAGTTCCAACTTCTACACCTGTGACTTTGGGACACCTATGAAAATTAAAGATTCAACTGAAAGTCATAAAAACTGCAACATAAATTCTACATTTGCCACAGAACAAGTGTCACTGATATTCATAGTTGTAAGCTGCTGAAAGGAAACTCAAAGAAATGTGGTTTATTTAAAGCAGGAACTATAACAGGGACTGAAAACTTCTTTCATAGTCATAAAGATTGAAAAATCATTCATAAAAATTGTTTTAGTACATGTATTTTTATGTCAATGCAAAATAAAGGTGGTAACTGTGACTTTGGTAAGAGCCCTGGAGAAGAGGAGGAAGGAAAGAATTCTGGCCTACCATCTTGTTTAGGAGGAGTTTCTTTAGAGTCTTTCTTGGTTTTCCTTCCTTCACGGCCACAATGATCATCTCCTAGATCGATGACGAGTTCACTCTCTGAATCAGAGTCCAGTCCTAGATGCACAGTTGGGGAATCTGTTTCATCTTTACCTTTCAGTTTTTCTTTTGCAGGATGCTGTAAACTTTTTCCCTTTTCAGAAAATTCTTTTTCAGTGTCTGAAATTGACTTTTCTTTGACCAGGTCATCTGTTTTCTCCACTTCTGGACTTGTGCTTTTAAGTTCCTCCTTGTCTTCATTCTGTGCTGGGGGCTTAGTTTTTTTTTTCAAGGTCAATGATTCTTTGTCACTTCTTGTACCTTCCTTGTCCTCTCCATCTTCTTGATCATTCTTTGATTTCTGATCCTCGTCACTATATTCACTGTCACTGGTGTCGGATTTTTCAGAATCTTCAGAGTCACTGTGTTCTACTGCAGTATAAACAGCTTCAGATATTTCATTTATTCCTAATTGTGGGGAGGAAAGTACATTCCATGCTGACATCAGACTGACTGACATTACCAAAACAAATTATGTACTGGAACAAAGTATATACATACCATTATCTTAACTGCCAGTCTTTAAGCTATAAACAATTACTTAGTGCCCTATTATCTCAATGCAAGAATGTGCAAGAATTACCTTCCACATATTCCAATCCATATTTATTTCATTCACTGGCCCTCCTTTCACTGCTTTTTTTCCACTACCTGCAAGCTGTTTTGTTCATCTCAGGACCCTATGCTGGCAAATGCAAAGAGGAATTATTTTTATCCACAAGAAGCCACCTTACATTCAGTAACACTTCACCTGCTTAAAGTCACTTACATGCATGTTTGCAGAATCAGTTTTAGACTATGTAAGGTTTATGAGGAGAATCTCTAATTTTTTTTAGTGTCTAGAACATCTTTAAGTGCTAGACAACACTAATGTTTCTAAGAGAATTCAGCTCCTGTGTGACCAGGTGTACTAATTTTTCAGTTTAAAAAGCAAATAGTAAGAATATGTAATTCTGTCATTCTATCCACATCAGAATGGTTCAAAAACAGATTAAAAATTAAAGCTTTTGCCAAAGATTTGAAACATCAGGTCTCACCGTTTTTCAACAGTTCAGTGCATTCTACTTGCCTCAAAGAATACAAATATCCTCTACTCTTACTATAATGCAAACAATAGTTAAGGTTTTACTATATGAGAAATTCTTTTGAACTTCAACATTTCCTCAAGTGTATCCTTCAGCTGTCCATTGTATCCTGGAGATACACTTACCAAGTTGTGCTTTACAACTCTCTATTGTCTTGTCAAGATTAAGCTGGAACCTACTACGTATCTGTCGTTTGGGTGAAATGAGTTGCACAGGAGTGGTCTGCTGTTGGACTGACTCACTCAGCTCTTTCAGATCCATCTCAGCTTTGCTACGATCTGGAAAAAGGAATAAAGAAAAATATTTTAGAAAAAGAAGAGAGATACAGATAAAACAAATCTGAGCAAGTAACAATGCAGATGGTCTGAGACACATTTCATTTCCTTTAGAATTACAGGCTAAATAATAATTCTAAACTGACCTTACAACAAACAATGGATCCTTCCTCTCTGATCCTACGTATTTCACATGCAAAGTGCATGCATCAATTATGTAGATATTTTCTCTGTCAATACTTTTGGAAAATGTGTTCCTTGTGCTGAAAATGTTTGCTACATTAGGTTTTATCTTCCTGGGCTGTTATCACCCCACCCAATCCACACTAATTCCATAGCAGTAATAGTTATATCACCTTTAATACAGCATTTGTTTCAAGGCCTTCATAGCCTTAGTTTACTACATGGCAGGACATAAACAGAAGAAAAAAATGGAGAAATGAGGAAGATGAAGACAAGACACTGTAATACCCCTCCAAGGAACCCTACATACGCAGACATACGAAAAGTCCTGCAATCCAAATTTCTCTATCTAATCTACAAGGAGGTCTCCCTGACCTGGATTTCCAGCCCCCCATTAATGTCAAAGTATTAGCAAAAAGACAAGCTCATTGTGGAGGAATTTTAAGTACTCATCCCTAAAGTCTTTATTTTAAAGCCCTTTGTTCATTTAAAGCTACATACAAGAGAGTTTGTTCACATTATTTTGCACTGACACCATGCAATTTATTCAGTTATAACAGTATCAGGTTTTCAAAGGTCAAGACTAACCAAGATTCAGATTCAGAATGCTTCCTGGAGTGGAAGTTCTTTCTTGCTTAGCAGAAATCGGTGTTGATGCTTGGGGAGAGAAAGGTTTGGGGCTGCCTGACAAGCTCCCTGCTTGACCCGTTCTTGTTGGTGCTGGAGAAGCTGGGAAAAGTACAAAATTAATAAAACCAGATTTAAAAATAATCACAATAAAGCCACATTCACGGGGACAGAGCAGCTTTTAAACCTACACAAGCAGGGAAAGGATTTTTGTTTACTGTTCTCAACACTGTGTTATACCTCCTTTGCAAGTTAAAACTATCCCTTTTATTTTAGTTTAATAAAGAAGGATTTTAAGGAAAATAATTTTAGTGCAGCTATATAATTGGGCCAAACGTGTGTTTAATTTCAAAACTACTCTGCAGTGACAAAAAGCTTCTACCTTTCAAGAACTGGTTATTTTAAATGTTACTTTCTGACACTCTGAATCACTATCTGTCTTAATTCATGCATGTAAGTATACATAGAAACCCCAACCTACTACATTTTCTAGTTACAATAACAGAGATAATTAACATTAACATTACAAATCAGTATAAGTTTAACAAATGGGAAAACACTGACCAAATGTGTCTGATAAGGTAAAAGAATATTCTAATTTAAGCAAAATCCTGTGCTCTGGGCCTTTAAGATCTCCGTGAAATAATGCTTTAAAACCAAACTTCTGGAAACAGCCAGTCCAGAAAGGGAAGCATTTGCAGGCCATTATCTAAAAACATGATTAATTCTTGTCAGCAAGGGACTACTTTCTGTCTGTTAAATCTCTTCTTCTACACTCTGAAAGCGTCAATCTAAACTCAGTAGTGGTCCCTTTTTTTTCCTTGGTACACCCAAGATTGTCAATACATTTTCAGCTTCTTAAATGGTAGCAATATTTCCTGTTTCAGTAACTGTTTCCAAGTTATCTTCTACACATCACTCAAAATACACAGCCGGAGTACCCAAACGAAAATGTTCTTGTCCAAGGATTGTGCAGTCATATTACTTGAATTATGTTTTACATTTTAATTGAAACATACAGATTCCAGTAATAGGATAGCTAAGTTTATACGTAGATATCGCAAAGTTAGCTTTTGTAATGATATATAAAGGTAGAAATGCCAGCTAGGAAACGGAAAGTTTTAGTTTAACTGCTGTTAAGTCCAATCCAACATTTCTATGAAGGAAAATAAGGCCTGAGGAAAAGTTAGGAGAATTTGCCAGAATTGCTAATAATGATGAATCCAGAGTAATGGGATAACAGCTGTCATCTTCTGTTATCTTTATCTCATAAAATAGCTTTCCACGATTACCTCCACTACAACAAAGAAATAACATGGTATACTAAAAGCTCTGCATTTTAAGACACAGAACAGTTTCTGTTAGCTGCACCTTAGATATAAAAGCTGTACACATATATATACATCATAATTTATGTATAAAATTAATTCTCTTGACATATTGACAACTGACATATTACCCTACTGAAAACTCCAAGTATTTTCATATATTTAAATTCATACAGTCACTTTGTCATCACCTTCTTAAGATAGACAGGATCATATCACAAGACACTCTGTATTCAAAGACAGTTTCACAGCCTGTCCTCTACTGGCTAGAAATACTATAATTAATGATGAAAAAATGAATAGACAGCATTTTATCTAAAAAGTGCATGGAACACACTGATTGAGTTTCCTACACAAAGACATCTTTTCACCAAAACTAAAGTTTTAAGGCACTCACATTAATATACTGCTTAATCACTTGTTTTCAGACAGCAATGAACTTTCTCTTATGGATGAAAAACATTAAGATAAAGTAGTTTGCCTGAGTACCACAAAATTAGCTAACATTTGACCACACAGAAGTCTGAGAAGTCCAAATTCTGTATTCTACAATCCATTTTCTCTTTATCCACTCTGCCTATGGAACTGTAAGTTTAACATATTTTAGCTGCTCTCTCGGGAACAATATAAATTAAGCTCATTGCCTTGAGAAAGAGCTATGAAATTTTAAACAGAATACCTCCTAATCATGACAATTCTAACTCTTTCTGTATTTACTTCCACTCCCCATTCATTCTGATAGTTACAACTGTTTCCTCCTATTTAAACTGAAGGGGTTTGATCACTTTTGGGGATGATTTATTCCTCCCAATGTGAAAGAAAGGACTGCTATTTCTTATTTGTGATACTGAAAGTTAAATACATCTTTTTCTAAAATTTCTGCATAAAATGAGTCATAATACAGTCTGTCTATGAAAAGTACATGGAACAAAACTAGAGCACGAACCAAATGCAAAGTCCTGTGTCCCCCCTTCTAGTCCCCCTTTTTTTTACCTGTATTTTTCTCAATAAAGTCCATGGATTCTTCACTGGCACTAAAATGACTGGAAGTTGCTTTTTTCTCTGCATCCTGTTCAACATCAGATCCAGTGTGAACTGATGAATTTGTACTCATTGGTGACCGTGGCATATCTGTCAGTGAAATCCTACGACCAGTACTACTGCTCAGCATAGACTTGCTCATTAGAATCTTAGGCGATGCTGTCATATCAAAGTTCAGTTTGATTTTCTCTTGTTTGTCTGTCTTTGCAGTTCCAGCAGTTGGGTTTGCAGGGTCCAGTAACATTTGGTATTGATTGTTGGGGGTATACGGTGTCCGGAAAGGTGCGTAATTAAATACTCCAAATTTTCTACGAATGTTATCAACATAAACTTCCATTTCTTGCATTGCACTATTGAAGATGCTTTTAGTCTTTTTCACAGAAAAAGGGATTTCTTTAGACATGAGGTAGCAATTATTTATTGGAACCCAGGCCCTATATAAAACAGACAGATAAAAGATAATATAACTACATGTCATACTGTGAATTGACATGCACATACCAATTTATTTTAGCCTAATCATATAGTTATGGACAGAGATCATTTCAGCAGACCACCTCTACCTTCATCTTCTAATAGTTCAGTTAGTTTAGTTTCAGTAAGCAAACTGCATGTCTTGGATTATCACTAGCTCATTTACTCTACCTAATAACACATAAAGTATCAATAAGCACTGGTCAGGCATGACAAAATATTCCTAATTAAAACAGCCTATGTAACTGTAAGATGACCACTGCTAAGCAGTCTTTAAATGTCACAGTTATCAGAAAAACATAAAAAGCATATCAGGAAAAAAAAAAGACAAGGCTTCACAACCACGTTTTTTAAAACATTTTACACCCCATGTCAGATTGATCTAACTCCTCAGTGCCTGGAAATGTTGTACCAACAAGTATTGGACAGGTATTGTTTATCATTAAATGAAACAGACTCAAAAACTGTGCCTTCCAAGACTCTTAAATACCAGGAAATTTTACTTACTTATTTCATGGCCCTATACAGTTGGTGTGTTTACAGTACCTGTTTTTATAACTGTATAGATTTATGTTTTCAATTCATGACAAATCAACTCGTATTCTTGTGGCTTTCTCCATCTAAGCAGAGAGTTCACACATACAGAAAACTTAACTCCTTTCAGAGCAAAACCAGCATTTTCAACACATATTATATTCTCTGTATTTTTAAAATGTACAATTGTGTGTTTATTCCCGTAGACAACAAACAACTTGATTTCCCTCTTCCACCTCTAAGAACTACAGCTCTCTGCATCACAAAACCAGACACAGGAACTAACTTGCCTACTCACTGAGATTATATATGTATTAAACTTAAGAATGTGTGACTTGCATTCTACAGACATCATGCAAGAATACTGTAGCGTATTCAGTTATTAGCGTCAAGGTTCAAAAGACAGAATCCAAGAGCAGAAAGTTACAATAAGAATTTTGTAAGTACAGTCAAAGACATAGTTTGGTTAAATTCCCACCTGTCGTGTTGGCCAAAGAAACGGGCATCAACTTGCCCATCTTTATCCCTCAGTGCTTTAGCAGGCCAGAATGGAAAACCTTTGAGTTTAGCCCAGACCAATGGGTGGGGATTGCTCTAGAGGAAGAGGAGAAATACACAGTAAGGAAACACAAATATCTCAATTAAACACATAATAATTGCACTTTTTTATTATTTTTTTTTTTTTTTTAGTCCCCTCCACATATGTAGCATATGTTAGGGCAAATCTTGAAAATTCCCTAATTTTTACTTGGGCCCAAGAGAGAACATGATCTGTTCTATACTTAAGGAGTTTTCCCAAGTTTGGTGCAGTATTAAACAAAAACAGAAAACAGACAACTTATTAATCAGTCATAAAAGATAAACAAGTGTGAATTCCGAGATTCATGCCTACAAAAAGAGAGACATTCACATTTCAGAAATCTTATCCTGAGTGAAAGCACCACATGCAAGCACAGATAACCCAGGAGGAGATCTCTTATATTTGGAGAACCTTGTGAACTGGTTGCTGACACCTTGAGATAGCTTGACTCCAGAAAAAGCATGATGCACAACCACAAGCTATTTGGTAAACTACAGCAGCTTTCCTTGAGTCAGTAACCACCAAACGTTTAAAACAGTGTGGGCACAGATAACAAATAACAGTCAAATGAGAATTACCAGGTTAGTGCATTAGCTAGACTACCACAACCCTTAACTTACACAAGGCTCACAAAACCAATTTTCTCGTTTTTGGCAAGCAGCTAAATAACATTCCGGACATACTTCAATTTCATTCATCTGAAAAGAAAAGCAAACAGTTATCTGAGAGCTTAAACAGAGTCCAAAGTGTAATCAGTGTTATTATGTTAGCCTGTCTAGTTTGCTAGCATCGTTTTCCCACAAATTTGCTGTCATAAATCAACATTTCCCAGGTGGCCAAGAGCATCCTGGCCTGTATCAGGAACAGTGTGGCCAGCAGGATGACAGTGATCACTCCCTTGTACCTAGTACAGGTGAGGCTGCACCTCGCATACTGTGTTCAGTTCTGGGCCCCTCACTACAAGAGAAACATTGAGGTGCTGGAGCATGCCCAAATAACAGCAACAAAGTGAGTGAAGGGCCTGGAGGATGTGCATATCTAAACAGAAGAAAGCCTACAAAAATTACAGTTATGCAACATATACACTAGAAAACACTATTATTTCATTCACAAATACATGAAACACTTTAAAACCTACATAAAAATTAAGTTAATTGGGGCATTCATACCTCATGCTCACAGATTTTGATGATGACTTTTGCTGTTTGTGTCAATTTGTGATTTCCTGAGGAAACAATAAAATGCTTTAACCAAGAAAACTGTAATGCTAGAATTATGATAAAATCAACAGGTTTCAGACTTTAAAGCTCACATTAAAGACAAAGGAGAACATCTAAAGAGATGATGTAAAACACGTATGTATAAACTACATGCTTCAAAAGCAGTAGGTAGGCACTTTTCTTCCCCACGTAACATCATAACAATCTTTAAATGTTCCTTTTTGAAGCCTCTTGCAGCCTGCCCACCACTGCTACACTCTTCCCATGAAGGACACGCTGTGTGAGTTCAATTAGGCCTCTTCTAAAGTGCTGCATAATGCAAAACAAAACAACCTGGGAGTTGGAACCACCTTATCGTTGAGGTCTCTTCCAACCCAAACCATTCCATGATTCCACAGACTGTATTTGGTCCTACAGTTTTATGTATGCCAGTTAAAAAATTTCTGTTGTGTTTAGTCACTATGCTCAGTGACAGGAAGGTACTTTCAGCATTTGCCAACTAGAAGCTTACAGATTGCTCTGTCACTTTCTGAAACTTTCAAAGTTTCAAAATTAAGAATATAAGTATGTATTAATATCTTACCCCCATTGTAAATAATGCAGTTGTGCAAAATCCATTTGGCATCAGCCAAAAATGCTTCAGTGCAACCGTACATTTTCTTTTTAACATTCTGCAAAGAGAAAATTCAGAATGTATTAGGAAATAGAAAATTTCCTGAAATTTCAGAAATGAGTAAAAAGTGATGGTTTCTTCCTGGACATTGTTTAATATCGGGCATACAACTAGTAAAAATGACTGCTTACATACTGCAAGACTCATGATTCTAAACACGAATCTGTCAAATTCAGGGTGTCTTTTGACTGCCCCAAAAATGTACGAACTATCTTAACTCTAAATAATTAATTATTTGGATCAGCATCTTCAACATTTAAAAGGGGTTAATTTCCTGAAACAGTGTTTCATTTGATGTCCACAGAAAACTAAACTCTTCATTTCTTCTACTGATTTTATCAATCCAAAGCATTTTCATTTTTTAATTTTTACAAGATCCAGAAAAAAAATGTTGCTCATAAAACATAAGACAGTACATGTGATGTTCCATTCTACCCACTAGGTAAAGTACTTCAATTGGTCACATGGTTTTGTTACACCTTTATACTATTAAGACATCAACCTCCACTTAAGGACATGGAGAATGACAATTTGCTGTGTCTTCACTAGGTCCTAGCAGAACAAAACTCTGCAATACTGCACTCTTCATTAAGCAATGGAGTACGGAGAACTTCCTCATGATGCGAAACTTATTATTGAACTAAGAATTAAAATTATATTATCCACCTCTTGACTTTTTTCTTTTATACCTCAGGTTCAGTGGAGATTACAGCATTTGTTGAATGATCACTAAAATCAGTCTGGAATGACCCCTACATCTACATCTAATGGTCCCAAATTAATGGACCAGTGATCTATTAATAGCTTACAAACATGATGATCACATGCAAACTCTGATTAATGAAGTCTCCCACAGTATCATTCCTGGAATCAGACGAATTCATAAAGAAGAAAGCAATCAGTGTAAGCCTGTCTTATTCATAGTGTTTTTCCTGACCATTTATGTGTTACTAGATAGGACAAAATACTGCACTTGTTCAGTTGGCACGTGATTGTTTTTAAACTGTAACTGAGCTGGCATTTACAACAACAACAACAACAACAAAAAAGCATTAAAGTAACTTCAAGCAGCCTATCTCTCCTCCCATCAAACACTCCAGAAATACCATTGAGAGCAAGCAAACTCAATGAACCTTCCTCTTTTAGCTTCATACAAACCTTCTCTAATGTACAAAGGTCCATTGGATGAAAGATATATTCTGCATAATCTGGGTGTTGATCCAGTGAAACTGGCTTTTGAAATGGCTCTGTCTGTTAGGAAGAAAGAAATCAGTGCTTATTAATACCGAACAGTTTCATCAAGGACACAATACTCATTAGTTTTCCAGTACTAATTCCAACTGCGATGTCACAGAAAATTCTTTAAAGGTAATTATAAAATTTTGTGAAGTAATAAAGTATTGTCAGAACAAGAGGAACTAGAAGGTCTCAATTAATTGGTTTTCATATGCTGGAAGTAATGAATTGCAGAAGTCAGGGGCTTTGTAAAATGTACTGTCACTATTTACATTAGGATTTTTTTGTGGGGAGTATCAGAAGCTCAACAGTTTATAGCAGAAAAAAGACACTAGACTCACAAATACCTCTTTCTCAGACTTTTGTTAGAATTTAACTTTCGAAACCAGGGTGGCTTGGCAACACAAATACATTCAAACTTTCATCAATGGGACATATTAGCATCTGCTAATGTGGAGGTTACTGCAATTTGTGAAACTCAACGGATTAAAGAACTCAGGTGCCAAAACAATAGGTGATTAGTAAAATGTCTCAACATTAGGGCAAAATATCTCAACAGGGTCCACTAAGCTTTCTAGCCACCTTTTCAAAACCTTTTGTGAACTCAACATAAACAAACACTGACACCTTGTCATTGAAACGTAGCACTTCAAGCTTCTCCATCTAACAGGATAGTATTTACCACTCCAGAGTAAAAGGATTCCAAGAACCAAAATCTGTCAGTGCTTAAGAGCAACCTTCCCAGAAATTGCCACTATTGTTCTACTAAAACACTTATCACAGAGAGATCAGAGCTGCAGACAGCCCATGATTCAACACATCTGGTTTTCTTAACTTATTTTACTGTAACAGGGCAGGTACAGAGACACCCTCCCCACTCCTCTAACTTATTTACAGGACAAGAAGCAAAAAGGGCTTAAGCCAACCTTGGTAATTCACCACATAGAATTCTGATGAAGTCAAAACTTCACATGAAAGCTAGGCCAAGCCTGCATGGTGAAGAACAAGTGACAAGAATTGTTGAAACTTAGAAGCAGGGATGGGTGACTGGAATAGCTGAAATTTTGAGACATGGTGTTTTTGAGAAGCGAGTCTGAAGGCAGACACATGAAGTTAGGTACAAATTGGAGGAAAATCAGTTTTACCTTCATGATAAAAACTGAGAGAACAGCAGCCTCATATCGCATAACAATGAACAGCACAGGTTTTCACCACACTGAGGGAGATTTCTTCAGTGTTTTAAAAGTATATGCTACAACTAACTTTTGTGGCAATTTCTACCAACAGAGAGCAGCCGGGTTTTCAACAGGTATAATCAATAATACATGAGTGTTGTGCCTGCCCATGTAACTGTATTGGTGAGAGATCATGTCTCCTCAATTTACCTTGTATCTCAGAGACAACATTGTCAAAAGAGTAAAAAGCCACCATGTCTCACGTTGTATTTTCACCACACCTACTGAAACTACATCCAGAAAGTTACATGAAGAAACTACATTTTGAACACACTACAAAACAGTTCTTAACAGCCTAACTGAATCTGTCTGCACTAGACAGGTAGAAGACAGCATAAAAACTGTCACACAGAATCTGATAAAACAAACTAGGTTCATAATCTACAAAAGGAAGCAAAACACATGATTATGACAAGCATACAATCCAAGCATTAAAGAGAAAAATAAAAAAATAAAGTCCTTCTTACCCCTGGCTGTTTCATTTTCTGTAGTGCAAACTTCAGTAAATATGATAGCTGTTCAATGGTGAGCATTGTCATTGCTTTACTCTGTGTTTCTATGCATTCTGCAACTGTGATTTTCTAGAAGTCAAGATTAAAAAACATTTGGTCAGGAAACATTCCTAGGAAAATTCTTCTCTACTGAAACATTCTAGCGTTCAAATAGAAGATAACAACTAGCTTATAAGAAATAAAACATTTCTGATGGCACAGTATAAGTACTTTGGATACTTGTTTTACTTGATTATTGTTCCGTGTATGTTAAACAGAAAAAATAAAAGCGGGGAGACGGGGAAGAGAGAGAAAAGGGAGAGAGGGGAAGGAAAAGACCAGAAAAATACCCATAATGAATGTATGAATACAAAAAGTTCCCACATACAATGAGGGTTCAGAGCAATATGAACGTGGCCACCTGCTCTGTAAAACAGTAAGCGGTCGAAGAAAAATATGCGATTAACCAATTTCCTTTTGTTAAAGATACAGCAATGCTAAAGAATGATTAAGTTCTTCCCCAGGCCTGCAGAAAAAAAATAGTAATAAAATACCCACTTGTTTGACCCAGGAGTGAAATCTTTTTCAGCACTGCTGCAGAGCTGATCAGCTCATTAGAAAAAGCACAAGTTAAGCTAGTCAAAACTGCAGAATGCTTTCAAAATAAGAGGTGTCTGATGAAGAAATCACCCTTCAAACTGCACAGATTTCTCTGGTACCTTTACCAAGAGGCAATACAGGAATAAACCAGCAACATTTCAGAACACAAAACTACCTGCTTACATCTCACAAACAATAAAGAAATCTACTCCTTATATCAAACTAACCTCACATTCTGGGCAAAACCAATCCCCCTCTGGTTCCGCTGTCAGTTTCAGACACTTAGCATGATAAACCCGAGGACAGAGTTCACAGCAGAGGACTTGGCCTTCCCGATGACAAACCCAGCAATAGAAATCATTCCGTCCATCCTGTGGTACAACATCAACAGGGTCTGTGGTGAGTGGCTGCTTCATATAGTAAAACGGACCATGTCTTAGTTCTGACTGAAATGTAGGCAAGAAAAACAGGTTTGGTTTCAAAACAAATTTGCATTTTTTCAAATAATAATATTCATAATATATAAGCAAACAGCAGTTTACAGAGTTTGATTAACATTTATGCAAGCACAGTATCTTATTAATTGCACAAAATCATTCATAAAGAAGTTTACTGCTTATTCAGATGTCAAATGCCAGTTTGCACTCAAGACTGAAAATAAATCTTTGTGGCAAGTAAGGGCATCAAATGCAAGACATGCAATCCAACCAGAGTCAGTGAACACTTTTATATTTGAGAAAGAAATACTGCCATAGAAGCTATTAGGTCCTCTAAACACAGAATTCCACGGGGCTGTGCAAGCTAAATACTGAGATATTTAGTCATGGCTAAACCTGGGACAGCTGAAGAAGTTAGTCCTGAAATACAAAGTTGAACACCATGCAAATCTGTCCTAAATTGCAGCAGTTCACAGCTTTGTACAATGAAGCAAGCCAGTGCTGATTTTGATTAATAAGGCAAACTGTAGAGTAAGATGACAAAGGAGCAAATTCACATCCTGAACAGCCACTCTGCTATAGGAGCAGGAACACGGGGAGAGATTTAATCCACCATTTAAATGCATATCAGAATTTAAGACTCACGATCTCCACCGGTTTGCCTGCACTAGAAAACAGTGTTAACTTTGTAAACTGCATGAACTAGTCTTCCACTTGAGCCCCAGACAGCTCAAAGATGACACAGCTGATGCCAAAACACAAGCAGCAAACAGCCTAGGATAAAACGGGTCCCCAGAAACCTAAAGTTTGTTAGATCAGCTTTGAAGAGCTGCTGACATTTACTGGAAAGCTACAATCAATTGATCTATGACAAGTAAACTTAAGTTTTCTATTTGGTATTTATAGGGGTAGTTTGCTGAGAACATGGAGAGAAGCAATCTTGCTCATGACATTCCTTGTAACTATTCAAATGCTGGTAGTTTGCAGAACCATTTTGTAGGTTCTCAGGTAATCTGTGTAATTGGGCACCATTTACACATCTGCAAGTTCTTAAGAGGTTTGAGCTGTCACATGCCCATGTGACTCATAGAACAATGCAACCATCTGCATGTTTCACGCTTTTGCAGCATCCTCAGTCACACAGGGCATAAACTAATGTCACCACAAACCACCAGCTTGGGTTGTGATATTTCTAGATTTCTACAGTTATAAAGGATATTATTTGCATGAATAAAGCAACTTCAAGGTGAAATTAGGAGACACAGAAGTGATAACCCAGCTGGAGATGTTGTATCTCAAAGAGAAGAGATATCATCTGCCAGAGGACGTTACCCACAAACATTCCCAAAGCTCTGCTACCTAAAATTTCACTCAATTTTCTATCAGCTTTGGTGTTTTTCATTTTCTAATCTGCAGATTATATAGCTTCTAAAAAATACTTTGTTCCCACCATAGAAATGGGAAAAATGTTTTTTTTTTTACTTTCTCTGTGTATATATATATATATATAAGCATATAACATAACAAGACTCTCAGAAGGAAGGTTCTATCAGATCCTGTGGAACAAGAGGGACAGCATTAAGTCTTTAACTACATTTCAAGTGCATTACTACTACAATCATTCAAACAGACACAGAAGTTATGGAAACCAAGAGTGAAGAAGGGAAAGTTGCAATTCACAGTGCAGAAACATGTTTTGTTTGCAGCTATATGCACCACAGCTGCGAGACCAAACAAAATGTTAACCCTGTATGTACATGGAGTTGCAGCTGTGGGGCATTTCCTCAACTGAATAAATAAAGGAATAAAGGAAATTACCAGAATAATTTAATACATATCCTGACTTAGAAGTGGATATAAGCAGTATATCCACACTAATTTCCTAAGAATGAAAGATACTGCTTTAAGACAAATACAAAGCCTATGAAACTATTACACAGAAATCAGCTCATAACACCCAAACTGATGTCTTTTTGTTAGAGCATAAGAAGAACTTATTGACCGTTCAAGGATGTAGACATTTATCACCTTGTTTTATCTAAGCCGCGTTTAGAAACACCCCACTCCCACACAAAAAAGGCCCCGAGACTCAAAAGATACACAAACAACTGCATCCAAAGACCTTTTCACTTGTTATAACCAGAGCAAAATGTTTGAAGAGTGTATCTTTTAACAGTTATTAAAGAAAAGCTTTGTTTCCTCAACTGTTTCACAGCTAGCCAATTCAAGCTCAGGTATGTGGTAGTTTGTTTTAAAGTCTTTCATTAAGTTACTAAGACCTGTAGAATGACATAGAAAACTGAAAAACCAACAGTATTTTAGTGCTGTTTTGGGGAGAAAAAGTTCACTATTTATATTCAGTTTAAATTAATATTGAAGCTAGTGGTAAAACAAGATGATAACTTCAATTTATAAGTGACCAGTTAAGTGTCAAAAGTTCCTGATTTTTAACCTGTTCTAGCTACATTCTACAATTCCATAATTCTTTGCTTGTATTTCAACACTAAGTACCTGTTGGCACCATTCTGTAGATCTGTTACTGCATCCACAACATGTAATAGGAAACTTCATGCAACTTCAGTAATAGTATCTTGAAATAGTCAAATATTACAAACACTTTGTAACATAGAAGTTTAAGTTAGAGGTTTCCAGTGATGCTGTCACACCTCAAAATGGATTCATCAGCCAATCAGAACCACAGCTATTAGCTACTTCATACTTGAAACTTAGCCTGAGAGCAAATAGGTAACCACATGCTTAGCGCATATATGCTCAGCAGTGAAAGAATCTTTCAAGAACTTCTGCTACCATATAGAGCAGTTCTTCACCTACTTTAATCTTCAGGCATGCCCCTATCAAATTTGACATGCAAGATAACATTAAAAGCAACTTGGAAAAGCTAAACAAAACTAAACATGTTTGCTTGCTGACTTGTAACAAATACAGCAAAATAAGCAAGTCTGATTGCTTTTCTTCATTAGATATACAACTTTATTATACCCTGTAATATTTCAGGTCTGAGATACCTGGAAAATAGAATTTACTGAGGGGAATGTATCAAGTTCAACAACTGCAACTGTGTTTTCATTTGTGTTTTTAAATGCATGAATAGAAGTGGAAATTAATACCCTAAGATTCAGTTCCACTGTTTGTAAAATTGTCTCTACACTGCACAGGTAGAAGTTCAGACTTCAGTGGGGCAGCATCTCCCTAGGAAATGTCCAGGATGTGGAGGAATTTATACAGCCTGAAGTGAAGCTCAGTAAGGCCAAACTGACCACATTAAACTAACGCAAACATGCCTACACATGATAATTCTAAACCTCCCAATTATCCTTAAGTAAAATATGCTTGACACTGTAAACCTGTTCTCTAGCACAGCCTGATTTATTCAGTCTTCGTTCCAGGACAACTGCAGTGATTAGGAATTTCATTTTCTTTTTTTAACTAGTGTAAATGTACTAGGACAATATGTAATGTGGACACTTTTACATCAGGAAAAGGTGCCTTAAACCCTCAGAATTTAATCCTGGCAAAAAACGCTGACACAGAAAAGCACTTTGAAAAATAGAGACATGTCATTTTTAAATTAGATGAGAAATTTCATTAATGCTAAAGACTGCCTTCATCTAATCTTGTCCAAGATGATGCAGGAGGTACTTGCTATTCAACAGACTTCACACAATTCTTTTACTTGCATCCTACAATGAATCAGAAATTGTCAGAGTCTTTTGGAGTTAAGTTCTAAGAACTACAACAAAGAAGACACCGAAAATAAGGTTTCAATCATGAAGACTGAAAAGTACTGTCAGTGTGACCCTTTGATTTAACTAGCTTGGTAGGAGTGTATATTGCTCAGCAGTGTAAAGGAAGGGGAGGGAATCTGCAGAGTATCAAGGAACGTGCTAGACCTTTGTTAATAATTGACAACAGGTCTAAAACCAGATGAGGGACTTCTGCTGAGACCATTCTTAATCTCGGATATCATGCCACTGGACATTTCCTTTCAATGGTTTTCATTAATAACAGCTATTGCTGTTATTATTGTTATTACATACCTTCATAATACTTCTGTTCAAAATTGCCTTTATTGCTTACACATCTTATTAGGTTTGTAACATCAGAAACCAGGACACAACTTGTCTTTCTCATACAGATGTAAAACAATAAGAGAATATGCAAATCCAGCCTATAATGCCAAATTCTACACCCACTACATTCAAAAATGAAAATCTGCCTCTTAGAATACAAGAATGGAGCTTCCTAACAAGGAGAGAGCTCCTGATCAGCTTTCTCTACATCCTTTATTGCGTCATATTCTAGCACAACAAGACCACGACTTCTCTTACCTGCTCTTTATTATTACTGTTCAATAGACCAGGTTTCTTTTTCTTTTTTATAGGACTTGTTGATGCATCTTGTGGTGAGTGGCCATTAGAGGAATGTGGAGGGCTGGGAAATTTTCTTTTCTGTGCTGCGCGTTCAGCAGAGCCAGGATCTACAACAGATACAGACAATATGGTTGAAGAGGTCATATTGATGAAAAACATTCCAGCAAGGCTGTGGTTTGTCATTCACACTCCTTCACTGAACAGAATAAAAATTCTCATTGTCTTCCATCCAGTCACTGACAAAACCGGAAGCACAGACTTGCTGAGCAATGCCACTGTTAAGTGAATTCTCGATACAGTAATTTAGATTAACATTACATAATTTTTCTTTTCAGGCCATTCATCTCAAATTCTAGTATCTTTTGAGTATAACACTTTGTTAGTAGTAGCTTAGAAGAGCACTATGCTGTATACACTTTTAACAGCTATGCTTAAGTGATTTAGAAACACAAGCAACAGAAGTTAAAACATGGTTATTATTAAATTATTATTTATTATAAAAACACTCATTATTTACCTCTCATATTTAAATAAAGTTGATAAAATATATCAATAGGAAAAAAATAAATTGTCCTATAGTGTAAAAATAAATATACCACTTCAAATATTTAGTCATTTGCAAGTACCTGCTAAACTGGATTGTAAAAAGATAAAATTAAGACAACACTACCAGTCAAGTAATAACCTTCTGAAAGCAAAATAGAGCAACAAGCACAGTCAACAGAGAGTTAGCAGAGCTCTCACATTCAAGCAAGCAAATTATGAGAGTAATTTAGTAAGTTACAGTTCCCATCTATGACTGGTTACTGTCCCAAGTAACAAAGCTGGCAGAAGGGAGCATGTGCCTGTGTCGCAGCTGCTCTAAGTAATGTAATGTCATCTTAGTGTAAATTCATCACACCAGCAACTTCAGCAGCACCACTGGCTCTGAACTGCATTTTATGAAACATGCACAAAATTCTTTAAAACATTAGAAGGAAACTGAAAGACTGTTCTACCAAATCAACATCTACTACAACAATCATTCATGTCTGCTTTGCTCCTCCAACTATGCTCAAGTATTTTAATTCTTCAAAGGTTTTTAACTCCTTTGTTTATTTGTTTGCTTACTTGGTCACTGGTTTGTGTTCTTATAATATTCAGAAAGAAATATTTACAGCCTTGATAGAGTTAATACACATAAAAAAAAAAACCAAAAAAACTGGCAAACTAATCAGAAATACCCAAGTTAAAAAAAAAAAAAAAAAAAGCATTTGCAGCTTCATTTTCTCAGAACAAAGTTTAAATGATTCCTAATGAATATGGAATGTGCAGCTCTATTACAAAGATCAGGTATGCAATCAGCTGTAACAGGTAATCATAGAACAGTGAAACAATCTTGACAAAATACCAGTGAAAATTCAGAGTTGCTTTAACACATTTAATTTTTCCTCAAGCATGCAACAGAACAAAATGAGAGATAAAAACATAGGGATCAGAAGTCATCAATATCACAGAGAAACAACTGAACCCTCCCCAAAGTCATTCCCGTATCTTCAATCCCATTCTCATGTGCTAATGTATATGTTTTGTGGCTACACACAAAAAAAATGTGGCGCTATATGGTGACTTCTGATTGACCAAAAGCTTGGTAACATGTGTCAAGATAACAACTAAGAAAACTATAAATATGAAAAAGAGATAATAAAAGATAGATGGAAGAGGATATAACCAGAGGAGGGAAGAGAAATATAACAGCAATTGCACATCCTGAGTTTTACTGATCCAGAATAGCTGCGCTAGACTAACACTACATGCAATTTCAGTAACCCCAGGAAAAGTTCTGCCACTGGAGTTCCACAGGCACAGCTCTTTTGGCAGTGCTGCTAAGCAGAAATGGAATGTTAACTCTCAGAGAAATTTCTCTGTTGACGTAAGTTAAAAATTTTGGCAAAACATAGTGAAGCTGCTTTACATAAATTAACAAAAACTTTCTATGTTTTCAGTTTTCTTTCACATCAAGAAGTGTGATTTTTTCTTTCCTTTTCACCCCTCCCCATCCCTTTTATAACTTGAAGGCAGCATTTTGGACCAGTTCTATTCTGACATGCCTATGTCGAGTTAAACTAATACAATATGTCCAAGACCATTATTGTTACTTGACTTGTTTCAATTCAAGCAAATCTGCCTCCCACTCCATTTAGGCCAAAATTCAGATGGATTTGACAACACCAAAAATTGCCAAGTAAGGTATGGCACCTAAACATGTGAAAAAACATGCCTCTTCCCCTCCTTAGGCAATTACAACAATAAAAATCCCAATGCAGGTACAGCTCCACTGACAGACTACCTCGGGTATTTTCCCAGTTTAGATAATTATGCACAGAAGGTGGCAGAAGAACTCCTTTGGCTGGCATATGCTTTGCATATCCCAAGAGAGCTGAGCTAATACAGCTGTCTGGAAGAAACACTGCAGCACCAGTGTCAGCTAAACCAAAACCCACAGCATAACCAAAGCGATCAAACCGAAAACCAGAACAAGCTCTGAATTCTATTGTTTTCATTGAAGTAAACGGATCTTACTCAACATGGGATCTGTTTGCATTCAGAGGGATCAGCAAAACCAGCATCATACCACACTTCTCATCGTTCCATCACATGGCTCAGAAGAGCATGTACAATATAAGTCTTTGTTTCTTTACTATAATACGCAGTTCTCAAAAGAGACTTTCTGTACATTTCTAAAGGCAGTCATAAGTAAACTAATGTTACTGTTAAGGGCTGACTATGCCTTATCTTTGTTTTCCCAGTGCAGAGATAAGCAGAACTGTCCCTCCCAAAACAGCCATTTGAGCAAACAACATCCTTAAAGTACCTGCAAATAAAGCCTTCACCACTGAATTCGCAGACTGTACATATGCAGGCACAGCTTAAACCAGGAGAGTACCATGAAGGTTTTCTGCCCTTTGGCTTCCATTTCTCACTCCCAGGCACAAAACAGCCACCAGTGGAGCACACCAGTTTCCTTTCAGCTCTTTCACCTCAGATTGTGTGGATTGACAAGAAGCTGCCCCTGACACTGCACACTGTGCCTTGGCTCTAAGTGTGAAAAAAGAAAATCAGCTGCAAAGTTCCTCATCACAGGCCTGCCCTCATAATGTGGTGCTTCTCACTTTAAAAGCTGTTTTTTTCCAAAAGCAACTGAGTCAGTGTCAGAAAAAGTGTTAAACTGTTATTAGCTAAACCAGAATTACAATTCAGTCACAGACAAATCCAAACTGCATTTCAACAGAAAGGGTACTGATTCAATACTGATGAAACCAGATGATCACACACATACATGCTTAGCTAAGTGATTTCACAAACTACTTAAAGTAGTGCAGTTTTCTCTCATGATTCAAGCCTGACCATACTGGGGATTTTTAAATAACTAGTGGTGACTCGTAGACAGCATACAAAAACTGACCAGAAATACAGCTTTTTTGCTTCTTCAACTGGCAAGTTATTGAAATGCCAGAGATGTTCCTGGAACAATGTAAGATATAACTGGAAAAATTAAGGAATAAACAGGAAAACAGCAATGCAAAGGCATCTTCTCTCAGATTTACTTGTGCTAGTGGAATAGGCTAATGTCTTTATCACTGAATGTTGCCAACTTACCAATCAAGAGGGACTTTATAATATGAACAACCTTTTAATTCAGTGCATGTAAAGTAAGAATGGTAGCACCTACTTAAATTGCCTGAGTTATAGTTTCCAATTCGAATTAAGACAGAAAATGCTCAAACTGCATTTTGTGTGAATTTCTTTCATCAGCAGTGTCCCATTCAGCACACACTGTCTCTTCTTCCTCCCTGGCTCTTTCAGCTGTGTTAGCAGAGTTTGCATAGCTAAGCTGTGAACCAGATCAAGAAACTGATCCCTGTTAAAATAACCTGTCAGGAGGAAAGTTAATTTTTAACCTGGATCACTTCTCCAATGTAATTTAACTTAATATTCAGTACTTGAACAAAGTGAAACAAACCCAAGAGGAAAGAACAAAAAAGACCAAATTTAAACTATGCAATTACTTGGTGACTAGAACAGTTACTTGGGAGGTGGAGTCCATTTTCTGTTCAGAAAAGGAACAGTGAGAATTTGTGTGATTTCTTCTATGTCAAGCAATTATTTTTATAAAGGTGTTTAACGAGCAAGAATTGTGTCACTTTGGAGAGTATCTCACCATGTCAGATCGGCATCAGCTGGCACATATCCCTGCAACCTCCCTACTCCTACCGTGTACTAAACAAGTCAACCCAATCTGAACTTTTCAAATCGGCATCAATTGATGCACCCACCTTTTCTAACTGAAAAGGCTGAGATCACTTGCACTCAGGAGCACCCAGCACACAGAAGGTTCACTATAAATGAAATGTTCATGAACTAAATGACAGGCATTACTGTAAAATAATAAACATTTCATTGATAAACCAACTGTACTAATTAATCTGCCAAGTAACCTTACTCCACTTATTTCTTAATTTTTGAACATGTGATTTTGCTTTCTTAGCGTTATTCCAGCACAAGTGAAAAAATAGACACCTGAAATAACTTTATTCTCATTAAAAGTTACCTGAGTTTACATCAGCAGGTTATTATTAATTGCTCTGTAATGTTGCCAAGCTTGACATACGCACCTATGAGTGCTCTCACAAACAATCTGTTGGGGAGCAACAAGCTAACCTGAGCTTCACCTAAAGTTTAAAACCTTTGTTTCAGTACACCATCACGTGACTAAAGGATTAGTAAGTACTGTTCCCAGGAGACAGACTAAAGCATACTTAAACCCTAAAGCAACTTAATTTCATACTTTATGTCTATTTCAGAAGTCCAAATTTATGTGATGGTAATGCAGTTTTTAAACAAACTGTGATAGTGACTTAATACAGTTTAGTTTAGAAAAAAAATAAAACCAATCAAAAGTACGTTATCACTGCATATCAGGGATCTTATCTTGCTGCAGCATATGGACCATAGACCACATCTTTCATGATGTATACATTGCCAAGTGCTGCACTGTAAGCATGCAATAACAACTGAGAAGTCTCATTTTTCTCAACGGAAGCAGGTGCCAACTCAGAAAATATGT